TGGTCGGCACGGTCGTCGCCAAGAGAGATCGTCATAGCGCTCGCGGGCGCCAGAGCCAGCGGAATGACGATCTCTCGGTTGTCAAGAAGGGTGAGGAGGAAGCGGGCCCGTTGGACGACATCAAGGTGAAGAGGGCCATGACGATCTTGAGAGAGCTCCTCGGGACGCTGGCGCAGGCAGAGGCTGGCCATTTTTGCCGTCGACGACGACTTCAGCCAGGAGATGTTCCACTTGGCCGCGAAGTGGGTCGAGATCTGCCAGCGGCTCGGTGTGGGCTCCGCCGCGGAGTCCAGCCTGGAGCACATGGGCTTCGGAGGGCTGAAGCCTTCTGCATCTGAATGTGCACGTGCAGCGCATGCGGAGGCAGAAGGTGGATAACTACGGCCTCCTGTACTTGCTGAAGGCTTGCTGGGAGCAGTCGAATGGTGAGGTCAACGGTGACCCATAACATGGTTCGACCCCGTGGGCCCCCCCCCAAAAAAACTTGAATGTGTACGTGAAGTGCATTGGGAACCAGGAGGGGAGTTGACGAAGGCGGCTGCCGCTCTCGGCAAGTCTCGAAGGCCTAATGTTGGCCTGGAGGGACGCCTCCCCCGTTGGGTCCGAGGGGGTTCCGGGGGGGGGGCCTCGTGGGCTCCTCGGCTTTCGGTTTTCGGGCCTGTGGGCCCCGTTTTGGGGGCCGGCCTTCGGGCTGGTCTGCGGCCCTTTGGGGCCTCGCCCCCCCCCCCCCCCCCTTCGGGAACCTGGCGATGGTATCCTTCTGGGTCGGGGCGGCCGCGGCCTCACGTCGCGGCGGCGCGTGCGGATCTCTGCGGAGAGGGGGGGGTCATCATCCAAGTAGTCAGAACAGTCAAAATTGCGTCTTCCTCCTCCTCCTCCTCCTCCTCCTCCTCCTCCTCCTCCTCCTCCTCCTCCTCCTGCTCCTCCTCCTCATCCTCATCCTCATCCTCATCCTCATCCTCATCCTCATCCTCATCCTCATCCTCCTCCTGCTCCTCCACATCATCCTCCTGCTCCTCCACATCCTTATCCTTCCTTGTCATCGGTCACTCCCTTTCTTCGCGAGCCAGGCGCGTGCAAAACTAGACACGGCTGACATGCGCAGCCCCGCGAGAGCCCCAGAGTTGCTTTCGCACGGTCCAGCTGGAGCCCGGACTACAGCTGGGCAGTTCCGCCTGTGACGTCGGACGGGCCTTACCCATCGGTCGTTGAAAGGTATTTGGGGGATTTTCAGATTCCAATCTACTTTAGAGTGCCTTCCTACTTCAATAATTGAGTGGCCTCATCTTGCCCGTCCTCTTCAGGGGGCGGGCGGACACCCAATCTACTCCAACGCCTTCCTACGTCATGTTTCCACTTACTTCTTCCGACCGATGGGTACGGTTGTGCCGCCAGCGGCCCCAGTTGAAGAACAACAGTGAAACAAGCATACGTTTGGAATCCCGCGCAAATTCCTTGGATCGGCGCTGGACTCCTCCCCTGGCGCGCCGAGCGCGCCGGGGGAGGCGCCGGAGGCGCCGACATGGGGGCTCTGGCGCTGACCCCCCAAGAGACCCGTGCGGAGCTTTGGAAGTTCCTGTTTATGCGGTGTTTTGTTTTTCTCGTCGGGGGAAAATGTGAGGACGCCCGCGTCTTCCACAGGAAGAGCTCAACAGAGGCCCGGTACACGCGGTGAACGCCAGATGCGCCGCGCGGCACTCGCCGTTCGCTTGGGCGGTCACCACCCAGAGGCCGCGCGGAGCCGGCCGCAGTGAAAGAAATGATCTCCACGAGGATCGGGACGATCGACATGGGTACGGAAAGAAGGGTTGAAAAGACCGACAGCAGTTTCTGTTCATTTTGAACAGGGCTCGCTGTCCGCGCCGCCGCGGACGTTGCTCACTGAAGACACAGCGCCGCCTGCCCAGCAGCGGCCGCTGTCGCTCTTGGGCAACAGGTGTCGTTGGGCCCTGTGCCCATTCTTGCCGTACCCATTTCGGGCGTCCGCAGAGGATGTGCAAGAGCTCGTGGCCGATTTGAGGAGGTGCTCGGGACACCGGCAGTGCCTGCCAACCCCGATGGTCCGCTACCGAAAATTTCCGGTAGCGCTCCGCAGAGATCGGTCGCTACCGAAATACCGAAATGCAGCGCCCAATACCGGTATCAGAGCGTTCTGAAATCCGCTATTTCAACGCCCTCAAACGAAGATCCGGTCGCTACCGAAATTCGGGGTGCGTCGAAATCGCTACCGAAAATTTCCGGTACGTCGACCATCTGGGAAGCCGTAGTGCGGTGGGGCATTTCTGCTCGGCGTGCCTCCGCGGCGGCCCCGGCGACGCGCTGCCCCCTGCGAGCGGGATCGCTGGCGTGCCGCTCCGCCCCGCGGGGCGGGAGGCTCGGCAGGGCTCGGGGCGGGGGCGCCCGGGGACGGGGACGACGAGGGGGCGTGCCTCCCCGAGGCGCGGCGGGTCGAAGCCGGCGGAGCGACGCGCGGAGCCGGAGTTCTGGACCGCACCTTTCCAGGCCTCCCAGCCGGGGTCCGAGCAGATCGGGTCGGAGGATCCCGCCGCATCGGCGGTGCGGCTCGATGTGTGCGCCCGCTGTTCCCCCCCCCCCCCACACACCGACGTCGCCCATGCATCGCCAGTGCATCGGGGATGCGCCGGCGATGCATCGGCAGCGCGTCGCGATCCTCCGACCCCATGTGCTCGCGCCCCGCTTGCGAGGCCGTCAGCACGCGCCCGCGAAACCTGGCGCATGTTCGTCCCGTGCCCTCCCTGGGCAGGCTCCCCGACGGGCAGCGGGCCTCCGCGTCGGCGTCGCCGAGCCGAGCGGCCTGGCCTCTCGAGGCCCCCGAGGCTCGCCTCCCGGCCGTTTCTCACCGCTGACGCGTCCTGTTGCCCAGCTGCTGGCGAGCGCTGGCGCCCAAGGCTCTCCGATCCACTTATCTGCTGCCCTCGGCTGTATGATCCCCTCTCGTTCTGCGTCCTTCTGCCCTTCTCCTCCGTTCGTCGCACCCCGTGTGCGATATCAGCTCGTTTTTTTTTATCTAGATCGTGCGTTACACTGCGCCATACGGATAGACTCGTCGGCCGTGCATGCGCGGGCGATCTCGTGCAGGACGAGAGCGATTTACGTTCGCCGAGCCTCCTCGCACGCGTGTCCCCATCAGCTGACCCTCGTGTGCATTCTCGTTCCTTTCCTTTTCCTCGTGCTTCCGCCGGCGCTCTTTGTAACTACGCTGCCCACTCTTCGCTCTCGATCTTTTCTTGGGCGCACTGGAATTCGCTCCAAATCGCTCGCGGTATCCAATTCAATTTCTCTCGCAATGACTGCGCGCGAGTGTGGCGACATTCTGGGTCGAGATCGCACAAACACACGCGCACACATGAGGCAGCTTGTGGGATTGTTAGGAATTCATCGCAGCGGGCGGGCTTCCACAAAACGGTGGCCACGCTCTTACACTTCCTCCTTGGCCCCACGACGTCTGCGCCGGGCATGGGCCCTTCGCCGCCTGACGACCGCCCTCACGCTAGGCGGGCGCGCCGAAGCAGCGCCAACAGCTACGCCGTGTCACCCGCCGCCAACTCGGACCAGTCTGCCTGAGAGCTCTAGGACATTTGGTATGACGATAATTTGAGGGCCGTGGATGCGCACGCTTGCGGTCTAGGCACGCATTGATGTGGCATAGTCGTTTCGCACTGGCTTTTCCTAAGGGGAACGGAGGCAGTGATGTACAGGGCGACCAGCCTGCGTTTTTGAAAAGGCACTACCGCTAGTAGTTTGCGAGGGCGCTTCCAGCGAGCGTCTGCTCATAAGACCGCCTTCATTTTCACATGGTGTCAGCTTCACACGTTGCCCCCTCCTTGGGGCGACGGCGCCACAGCATCTACACACTCCGCATTGTCATTTTGCCACATGTTGACACACATTCACTCTCGCGCGTGGGTGACGCCTTAGTTCATACCTATGTTGTTCCGACAAGGGGCCTTTATATTGCATCACCATCGCACGCCCAACACAGTGTCAAGGACATCTCGTCTCGATGATATCCGCCAGTTCGGGCCCTCAACAGGTGGCGGTCCGCCGCAACTCGCACCACTGTTTAGGCGAAGGGCGGTCGAGGAGCCTCCTCGTGTCATACGCGCGCTATGAGCAGGTCTGGCTTGGAGCGCCAGCCTAATGCCAAAGCTCCTGGATTTCCTGGACGGCTCGGCCTTGAACGCTGGTCCCTCTGCCTCGCACACGTTCGTCCAGCTCCACCCCATACAGGGCCTCCCCACACGGGAGGCCAAGTGTCCAGGCCACCCCAGCGGTTACAGGCCACACGCTGCTCTCGGGTACGGCAGTTTCCTGGCTCCTCCCGCCCAGGCAACGAACCGCCATGCCAGCAACACGCATCGTTGACCCCCAACACCATGCCTTCCTTGGCTTCGTGTGCTCCTTGCCTCCCCTCTCCCTCTCGAAACCGCCACCTATGCCTGTCCCAGGGGCACCTGACAGGGCGAGGCACGTCATGTTTCTACGCAGTTCAGGAGGGAAAGAAACACCCAGACACAATGAATCGTCGACTCCCAGGAAAATATTGGAAAATATGTGAGTGGGGGGGAAGACAGAAACCCTGAACATGTGGAAAAATATAGAGATTCCTGTTGTTTGTGTGTATTTATTTGCGTGTTTGTGGGCCCCTTCCGCAGCCCGAGCGAGCATCACGACTCGCCGAGCCAGACTGGCAGCCACAAGCCAAGCGCCTGCAACGAGGCCCCTCCAGCCAGTGCAAGGGCCCCTTCCCCGTCTCGTGGACTTCGCTCTCCTGCTGGCTCCGCCTCCGCCTCCTCGCCCGCCTGCGCCGGCAGACAACACCTTGGCATCGCTCGGACGTGTGCAGTTTTCTTTCGGCGAGGACCATCGAGGAGCGTCCTTGACCATTGGCAGAAAAAACACGCACGAAACCGAAACAAAAACACAGGGAATGGACGTCCGAGCGATGGCCAGTCATCTCCGCGGTGCCCCCCTCTCAGGACCGCGCAGACGACACGCGCGGGGCGATCAAGGCCTCGCGCGCCATCGACGAGATGACCGACGCCATCTCGGCGAGCCAGGCGCCGGCGTGGTCGATGTTTCGGGCCTCCTCTCGCTGCTGCCTCGTCCTCCGCCTTCTCGTCATCTGCTCCTCGTTCTCGTCCTTGTCCTTGCCATCCTCCGTGTTCTCATCGTCGCCTTCACTATCCTCCACCTCATCTTGCCTTTCTATCCTGCTGCTGGTGCCGCTGCTTCTTCGTGATCCCCGCTGGGCAGGGCTTCTGCGAGTGGAGCCAAGGGGACAAGTCTCGGCGCACATCCCGTACTTCGGTCCTGTGGGTGCACAGGGCCTGGGCTCAGGCTTTAGACTGAATCCTGTGCTGTCGGGCGTGCGTCGACGCACCTGCGAACGCAACTGAACCTCGCGGACGCGCGAAGACGGTGGTGCATCTCGCTCGTGCCTCCCCCGTCCCAGCGCCGACACGGGCCGAGCCGAAGGTGTCGGAGCAGAGAGCCCGAGACCAGGGCCACGGCGCATCTTAACAGTTCGTGCAGCGACGAGGCATTTTGCAGAAGATACTGAGGAGGAGGAGGAGGAGGACGAGGAGGAGGAGGAGGAGGAGGGTGAGGAGGAGGAGGAGGAGGAGGAGGAGGAGGAGGAGGAGGAGGAGGAGGAGGAGGAGGGGGCAGGAGGCAGGAGGAGGGGGGGAGGAGGGAGGAGGGAGGGGGGGAGGAGGGGGGAGGGTGGAGGGGGGAGGTGGGAGGGGGGGACGAGGGAGGAGGGAGGAGGAGGAGGAGGAGGAGGAGGAGGAGGAGGAGGAGGATGAGGAGGAGATATTGTCGGTGTCGGGGGGGGGGGCGATGCAGGATCGAGTCTGCGAAGAGCGGCGGGCCCTCGCCGAGGCGAGCAGCATCGGCAGAGAGGCTGCTCGCCGAGCGGAGAGGCCGGCCAGGCTCTGCCGTGGAGAGGTCTGTAGGAGAGCCAGGCCTGAGCCGGACTGCCGCCAGCAACCGCGCCAGGGCGGTCTGCGCCTCGGCTGGGCGAGCATCGGGCTGGTCGTGGTCGCACTCTCCCTCCTGGGCGCGGCGCGGAGGAGGAGGAGGAGGAGGAGGAGGTGGAGGAGGAGGAGGAGGAGGAGGAGGCCAGGACGGTCCTCGCCCCGGCTGGGCGAGCATCGTCAGGCGATCTCAAGCATGGATTAAGGGGGCGTGGATTAGCGACGGGCTCCGTTTCCATTGGAAATCGCGGATTTCTGCCGCCGAGCGAGGCGGCGCGGGCCGCCTTGTGGGGAGGGCACCTCCCCCGATCCATGGCTTTGGCGACCGCGCGCCAAATCCATGGATCGCTAATCCACGTCTGCGCGCCCCCGACATCGGGTGGTCGTGGTCGCACCTGCCCCTGCAGAGCGCACAGGGACCGGGGACGGGAGAGGCGGGAGGAGCAGGCGGAGCAAACTTGCTGGAGGTAGGGGGGGGGCACTGCGGAGTGTCGCTCTGCGTTTTCGGCGCCCCCCTTCTCCCAATGTCTCTCGATCGGCATGGATGTCGGGCATGACGCGGCGCTCCCGTCCCAGGATGCTATCACCCAGCTTGACGCCGAGCTTGCGGAGACCGCCAAGCAGCTCGAACAGACGGAGATGGATATGGAGGTCGCGCGAGCACGCACAATCTGCATGACATGCAAATGCCCTCACTTGATATGTAAATGCACTGTAGGCCGCGCATTCATACTTCGTTGGAGGCCTCCGCGTGGGGAAGGGACTACCAGAGAAACCCGACGCCTCCATAGCATTTTCTTCCCAAGGCGAGGGTCAAATGGCTAAGCCATGTGACCCTCATACTGGTGCCTGGCGACCGATGTTGTCATCTGCCAACTGCCTCCCTCTTGCAGTCGGGGCGCTGCAGAAGGAACCCTTTTCGTTTGGGAGGGGCTCAGTGTTCCTGAGTTGTTTTGCAGTTGGCCTTAGGTTTTCCATAGCTCTTCGATGGGAAATCGAGGTTCAACTTATCGAAACAATGGGCCTCGTTCCTTCTTGAGGGTTCCTCAGGTCAGCGCCCCGACTGTAAATCAAACTCCCACGAGTGCGAAAGTCGTGATGCCATCTCGTCGGCGCCATTCATCGGTATGCGCTTGCTGGGGCCCTGGGCCACCACGGGCTGCCAGGCCCGAGGGCCAGAATGGCAAGGCAGCCCACTTGCGGCCGGGTGGAATCAGGACCGAGAGCAGACGATATGGCATCACCACGTTTTCTCGGGATGCGTGGCCACTGCGCTGGGGCTGCCTCGTAGATGTCGAGGTGCGTGCGTGACGTATCGGCGGTGCCCGCTCTCTCGCGTGCAGGGCTTGGCTGCGCGTGTGCACGTCTGCTCGGGCACAGCGGGAGAGGGCGAGTGCGCAGAAGTGCGTGCGCACGTGCGCGAGTGCGTGGGCGCGCGCGTGCGTCCGCGCGGCTTTGGCTTGGCCCCCAGAGGGTGCTTCCGAGAAGGCACGTGTTTCTGTCTCCCCCGTGCCACGCTCGGACCTGTGACAGCTTCCACCGCGCGGCCCGACCCGCGACAGGGCGGCACAGGCCCAGACCCCGCAGCAACGGCACGATCCTTTGGGCACCGGCTCGCGCACACAGATACTGCTGGGAAGTGTGTTCAGCTGGCCCAGCTCTAATGCACAGGTATCTTGATACTGCTGGGAAGTGTGCTCAGCTGGCCCAGCTCTGGTGCACAGGCGCCCTGCTGCGCTGGCAGTGCGGGCACGAGCCCCGTCTCTCCTCTGGGCCGGCTTCTGACGTCGGGCTCGTTGGACGGCGGTGCGCTTGGCACGGATTCTGTGGTGGAGCGAGGACCCCTTCGCCAGCCCGTAGCGGTCATCGCGAATTCGACCACACAGACGCGCCTCATGGGCCGACGACACACCAGCGGCACGCGGCCTGACTAGGCGCCGTCCTGGAAATAGCACAGCCGACGGCCCGACGAAGCCTACACCGCGACCCATGAAGCCCCCCTGATCTGCAATACCGGCCAGCTCTGAAGTCGGCGTTGTCTGGCGGTCCGCTGTATGTGCACTCCAGACGGATGTGGACCGCCTGTCCTGGCACCAGCTCTGACACTGGCATCGGGCCCTGCGTGCGTTTCTGGGTGCGGGCCCTCGACGTCAGTCCCCCCCCCTGGAGCAAGCTACGACGAGACGTTCGTTGCACGTCCCGTTCGTCGCTACGTGTTCGGGCTCTCGCGTACGCGGCGACAGGCGCGTGGCTTGGGCTGCACACCCAGCGGGACACGGGCCCACCGAGCCGCCTCCCGTTGACCAGATGATGACCACAAGCTGGCGCACACGCCTCGACCTGCAGACGAAACGCGATGCTATCCCTGCCCGCACTTCTGACTTTGGCGCGGGTGTACTCTGCAGGCCGCCACGCCTGTCACCACGTTGACTCGTGGGCCCGCCCCGCTCCAGGCCGCACCCATGACGACGGCCAGCAGCGCGCTGCCCATTTCGGCTCGCACACCACCCACTTCTTCGAACGGCGAGGCCATGATGGCGACGGCGTGTGACGTGCAGCACGACGCCCTTGATAGGCTGCCCTCCACGGCCAGAAACAAGTGGCAACTGGCCCATCCACGAACTGCAGCCGTGACACTTGGCCACCGTCCTGCTGTGGGCAAAGGTTCCACAGGACCATATTCGATTGGTTCGTATGTGAATATGGCATGGCGCGCGCGTGGGGCGAGCAGCTCAGAAAACACACAGACACAAGTAATCGTCGACTCCAGGGAAAATCTGGGAAAATACGGGGAGTGGGGGGGAAGACGAAAGCCCAGAAAGTATTGCAAAATATGGGAAATCCAGGGATTAGTGTGTATTAATGTGTATGTCCCAGGGCCCCTTTACAGACGTAAGGGAGCTGCCTGCCCTGGCGCGAGCTTTGGTGTCTGAAGCCTGCGACGCGTACAGTCTGTTACGCGGGCCCGAGCATAGCTCGGCTGCCTCTGCCGCACCGCCCTGCTTGCCAGCTGTGGCATCCCGCCGCTCGCGTGGGCAAGGGAGAGCCTCGGAGAGCACGTGCACGCGCGCGCGCAGTTGTGCGTTCGGCGCGTGCGGTGTGCGTGCGTCCGAGCCGAGGTGGCTCGGATCATTCCTTCCTGGGTATCCTCCCGTCGGGTGGTCTCTCTGATGAGGTGTTCAGCGCTCTCGTCGAGCAGCTGCGTGCCCTGACGTGTTGGGACCGTCACGCTGTGGCCAGCGGGAGGCCAAGGGTGACTGGGGCAGAGATGCGACCTTCAGGACTGGGCCGTGCCGCTCTTGGCCCATCGGCGGCCGACCTTCGCACGATCGGCCGACCCGCGCGCCCTCACCGAGGGCCTCTCCCCAGTGCACCTCTCCCGCTCATCCGCCGCATCCTTCTCACTGCCGTGCTCTTCAGGCTGCTGTCGGTATCCCGTCCTACCCTGCCAGGCCATCAAGAAGCAGCGCAGTGAGGACCTCGCTGGGCTGCCCGTGTCGCGATCGCTGCTCGGGAGTTGTAGTTGGGAGGTCGAAAACCAGAAGAATCACGTTCAGCCTTGCCGCACATGACATGTCACCATGCCATGAGGTTTCCCCGGGATGTTTCTGTACTTCTACGGCCCCTGGGGATCTTGTCGGCCCCACCCCGCCACTTTAGCCCTTCGCCCCCCACAAAATCTGTCTTGCTCCTCCCGCGCCAGAGGTGGGAGAAGTTGGCAGGATAGAGGACAGACAAGACATGAACCACGCAGAGCTCGGTCTCCCTCCTCCGCGGAGATCCCCAGAGGACCCCACCGGAGACCCCGCGAAAGGCCCCATGGAGGATTCGAACACACAACAAACAAGAGCTGGCAAAACTTCTGATAACCTCACCCCCCCTCTGCCCCACCGGTGCTGCCCCCCTCGAGCGAGGATCTGGCCCACCGCGTCGGGGACCTCTCGGCGCGGCTCCGCGCCGGGGGTCCATCCAGCGCCAACCGGTCGGCCGAAGGCAAGCTAGGCCTGGACGAGGAGGAAGAGGAGGAGAGAGCAGTAGATGGAGGGGTGCCAGGAGGAGGGAAGGGGGCTGTGGGCCCGCATCCGAGAGGCCTCCAGGGGCCCGCAGAGGCCTCGAGAGAGGAGGTAGGGGGTAGGAGGGAGAAGGAAGGAGAGAGGAGGAGGAGGAGGAGGAGTGAGGTCGGAGCGAGCCCGACGAAGTTCGAAGTTCAAGGGCCAGCGGATAACACCTTACCGGGGTCTGCAGATCCGGCCGCCGGCTTGCCAGCATCAAAGCACGCGGGCGCAGGAGCATGCCGCCTACCTGGCCGCCAAGAAGGACGACGAGGATGCGGCAGCGATGGTGGCTTCTGCCAAGGATTGTATTGCCCTGCGCAGTGAAGGGAGATCGTGCCGAGGGAGGTACAAGCGAGAAGCAGACGCACTGACGGCGCCGTTGTTCACCCTCTCCTTATTCACATGAAGGTGCGGTGGCGGATGGTGATGATGATGATGATGATGATGATGATGATGATGATGATGATGATGATGATGATGATGGTAATGATGATGATGAAGATGATGGTGATGATGATGATGATGGTGATGATGATGCTGATGATGATGATGATGGTGATGATGTGATGTAGATGATGACCATGATCATGATCATGGTGATGCTGGGGCTGATGCTGATGCGGATGTGGATGCGGATGATGATGATGCTGATGATGGCGATGATGATGATGATGGTAATGATGATGATGATGATGATGATGATGATGATGATCATCATTACAATGATGATTATGATGACGCTGGTGATGATCATGATAGTGAGGATGGTGATGAGGATGATGTTAAAGATGCTGATGATGCTGATGATGCAGTGGTGGGGATGATGATGACCGTTGCGGTGATGGTGGTAATGATGATGACGATGTTAAGGTTGATGATGAGGATGATGATGATGATGGTGATGATGATGTTGATTGATCATGTTGGTGATGAAGATGTTGATGATGATGATGCTAAGGATGAGGCTGAGCACGGGGATGAGGATGATGATGTTGATGATGATGATGATGATGGTGATGATGATGATGATTATGGTGATGATGATGATGGCGGTGGTGTTGGTGGTGGTGACGATGATGACGATGACGACGGTGGTGATGATGATGGGGATGAGCAGGAGGAGGAGGATCCTCTCGCTGATGATGATTATACTGATGGTGGTTGTGATGATGAAAATGATGCCACTGATGATGATGATGATGATGATGATGATGATGATGATGATGATGATGATGATGATGATGGTGGTGATAAGGATGATGATGGTTGTGGTGATGATGATGACTATAATTCCAGCTTTCAGGGCATGAGTTGTTTAGCGAGCGTTTTCTTCCAACCTCTCTTTTCCCCTTTAGGGAGGGGTTTACCATTTCTCCCTATTCGTGAATTCCCGCCCCCCGCACGATCGGCAGCCAACCCGTACCCATGACGACCCCCCCCCCAGCCCTATCAAAAACATGCAACATTCATTTTGCCTGGAGCATGGGCGGGCGCCCCGCGACCACTTTGCATTGGTTGTTGATAGGGACAGCGGGGGTGCCCGCATGCTACTTGCTGCACGCAGGCCAACCTGCCTGGCAACAAAAGCCATACACAGTACGTGTTGCTTCCAAATCTGCAGCATGCGCGGGTGCCCCGCGGCCAGTTCGCCTTAGTTCTTGACAGGGATACTCGGGTGCTGCCTATGTGTTGGGAGGGCGGGCGGGGGTGAGCGAGTCGGCTTGCGCCTTGTCGACAGGAGGTGTCTTGATCCCTCCCCATACCCCGTCGCCTGTCTTTGGAAGGGAGGCCCCGCGACCGATTGGAGCGTCCAAGAAGGTCTCGGCGAGCAGGCACAAATCACGTATGTTCCAGAAGTGTTGTGCCAGTGTAAAAAATTATTTGCTTAAGAACAAAAAGGAAAGGAAATGTTGTGCCAGTGTTGGCCTCAGGGGGGGGGCTAATTAGGGGCCCTCCCCCTTCTTGAATCAAACTCGCCACAGGCGGCCTCAGGATGACCCCCCAGGCCCCCGGGAGTGCCCCCCACGGGCGCCCAGGAGTCCCCGAGAAGCCCCCAGTGGGTCCAGAAGAGGCTCCCAAGAGACCCCCCGGGGGACCCAGCTCCTTCCACGCCGCGCAGTCATCCCGCGGATGACTCAGGAGAGAAAAAAACACAGACACCATTAATTGTCGATTCTCAGGAAAATATGCAAAAATATGGGAAGCGTGGGGGAAGACGATAATCGGAAAATATGGGGAACCCTATTATTTGTGTGTATTTATTTGTATGTCCCAGGGCCCCTTCAATGACGTCATCGTTGTAGCCACTCGGGCAAGTGCCACTGACCAGTTTGGCCAGCGCCCCCGCCGCGCTGGCTTGGAAGCGCAAGCTATACTCATCGCGTGGGGCAGCTCCAACCTCGCGGGGGACATGAGCCGAGTTCAGCCCGTCGGAGCTGGTCGCGCCTGCAACGGCCGGTCCCGACAGGCCCTCGAGAGTTGCAGCAGTCTCGGGGCGGCCCGTCATTATGCCGTCGGGGAGAAACGAGCGAACTGGGCGAGCGGACAGCACAACCGCCCGAGCAATCCAGGCAAAACTCGAGGGAGAGAGAGCGAGAGAGAGAGAGAGCAGACAACGAGCAATCAGCAACGCATGTGCGAAGAGGGCCAACGAACGCACTGCGGCGCGAACGGCGCGCAGCAGCACCACCGGTGCTCGGCGGTGCGAATGGCGCCCAACGGCGCCAAGATCACACCCCACGGTGCGAATGGTGTGGCACGAGAATGGCGATCCGGGGCACTGAATGCACAGTGGTGCGAAGTGCGCTCAGCGGCACCGGGCTGTGCCAGCGGCGCTTCGCGGCACCAAAACCGCACGCTCTGCAGCAGAGAACGCCACCCAGCGGCGCAGAAAGGCACTCTGCGCGAATGGCGCCAGCAACAGCACGCGGGCGGGCGCAACCCAGCGGATGCAAGGATTCCAACTGCTGGAGCCCAAACCCTAGCGAATGCATGGATCTGGACACTGGAGCCGCCCAGCGAATGCAAGAGCGCGCCACGAGAGCCCCGCGACTGCAAGGGTTTGGGATTACTGGAGCCGCACAGCGAGTCCAAGGGCGCGCCAGGAGAACCCAGCACTGCAGGGCTTTGGTCTGCAGGAGCCGCCCGCCGAATGCAAGGGCGCACCAGGGGGGGGCCAGCGAACGCAGGGGTTTTGGACTACTGGGGCCGCTCAGCGAATGCAAAGGCGCACCAGGGCAACCCGGCGAATGCAATGGTTTGCCGCCCAGCGCGTACCAGGGCGCACCAGGGGAACCTTGCGTCTGCAAGGGTTTCTGGATGCTGAAGCCGCCCAGCGAATGCAAGGGTGCACCAGGGGAACCCAACGAAAGCAAGGGTTTTGAAAACTGTGGCCGCCCAGCAAATGCAGGATTGCACCAGGATAACCCAGCTAATGCAAGGGCGTCGACTACTCGAGCCGCCCAGCGAATGCAAGGGCACGCCCAAGCACTGTGGAACCGCACGAGAGACGCCACAATTGCGACTACAGGACCTTGCGGTTCCAGTCGGGCACCTGGGGGGCTCATTCGCCCAACTGGATGCCGTGAGCCTCTCTGGCTTCTGGGGCGCTCATCAGCTGCGGGCCATTACGGACCCTTCCAGGCCACGCTGGACAGACGGACAGACGACAGAGCGGCGCACAGATAGACAGACAGGCAGACAGACAGGCAGAGACAGACGACGGACGGCCGGCTGACAGCCGCCACCCCGGCAAGGCGAAGCGTGAGAACAATCCCCAATGGCCACGGAGCGCCAGAGAACCCGCGCGAAGCCCAAGCTCCGCTGCTCCGAAATTAGCCGCAAGGAGCGCTCGTCATAGGCTACGAGGCAAGGAGGCCGCGAGGTCAAGAGGAGTGGATGGTGTCCGTGCACTCCTCAAATTTCATTGCCCCCCAAATCGCCGCGCTATCTAGGAGCAACAAAACGTTTTTCCGCAAGTTGCCCGAAATCAGTTTCGAAGGGCTTGAGAACTGAACTGAACTCGTCTTCCTCCGCCTCCTCCTCCCCCACCTCCTCCTCCTCTTCGTGGTCCGCCGATTCCTCCCTCCTCCCTCATCCCCTTCCCCCCTCCCTCTCCCCCATTCTCCCCCATTCTCCCCCTCCTGCTCCTCCTCCTCCTCCTCTTCCTGTTCCTCCGATTCCTCCATGCTCCCCCGCGTGGGGCATGACGCTTCCCCGTTCCCTTCATTCCAGTGCATGATCCTCCACATCCCTGACCTGGGCAACTCGCCTGGGCATCGTGTCTGGATTGGCTGGTGGGCTTACGCGAAGCATCTGGAACGTAAAGCACAGGCTGGTAATGACGGGGACGGGGAGAGACGACACGAGCTATGAAGGCTATGAGTGAGCAAGGCGCCCCAAACAAGCCAAGGATCATGCGGAACGGCCGCAGCAGTTTGTTCTCGTGTGCCCACTTAACCGGTGTTCGTTTATTGCGACCCCACCTCGCACTCCCCTCCTCGTTCACAAGGGGCGAAGTTGGCGGTTACATGCTCAGCAGAGTTGCGCTTCTCGTGAAGCGTCATCGCCGCTCTGTCTGGCCGGCTTCCCTCGCCGCGATCAAACTATGTTCACCATCCGTGCCACGTTCCTGCCAGAGGTGGGAACATCTGTGCAGCACGCACTCTGCAGGGCCCTGTAGTAGGAGGAGGAGGGGGAGCAGGCAGAAGAATAAGGGTCTGGAAGATATGGAGGAAGATGAAGACGAAGGAGGAGGACGGGAGAATGAGGACGAGCAGCAGGAAGAGTAAGCCATTGGGATGGCGGGCGCGACATTGCGGGGAAGGCGAGAAGGCAGGAGCACCAGTGTCTCCAGGTCCAGAAGTCACCGGAAGCCCACAGATGTTCTCGAGGCCTCCCGAGGCCTAAGATGGGCTGGCAACGTTACAAACCACACATCGGTTCTATCCCCAATAGCCTTTCTCGAGGAGGATCTGTTGACATAGCAGGACATTTCAGGACCTTTCGCCGCTTGCTGGGTGCACTGGCGAATTTGAGGTTTGTCACGGCTCTCTCGCCCAGGACGTGATCCATAAGTTCTATCACGACAACGGGCTCATGTTCACACAGGGAGCTCAGAACCGCTCGAAGGACGCGGATATCTGGGGTATGCGTGCGGCACACGAATACAGAGAGATGGTGAGGAGGAGGACCAGTGGAGGAATAAGTGGAGGAGGGGAATGATGGTGATGATGGTGATGATGATGATGATGATGAAAATTATGATGATGATGATGATGATGATGATGATGCTGATGATGATGATGATGATGATGATGCTGCTGCTGCTGCTGCTGCTGCTGCTGATGGTGGTGGTGGTGGTGGTGGTGGTGGTGGTGGTGGTGGTGATGATGATGATGATGATGATGATGATGATGATGATGATGAGGATGATGATGCTGCTGCTGATGATGCTGCTGCTGATGCTGATGCTGATGCTGATGCTGATGCTGATGCTGATGCTGATGCTGATGCTGATGCTGCTGATTCTGATGATTCTGATGATGGTGATGACGATGGTGGCGGTGATGGTGATGGTGATGATGATGGTGATGATGGCGGTGATGATGATGCTGATGCTGCTTGAAGTGGTTATGAGGAGAACGAATATGATTTCAGTGACTCATCGGCGGGGATGGCGGGGGCGCAGACATCATTAGCCTGTGCGCAGGCCCCACGCCCCTCGCCGCCCTCGGGACAGACCCTGGGCTCAAGCGGTCGCCCTTTCACGAGGCCCCCCAGCTCTCCTGGGTAAGTTCGTGTCGGCGGCCGCCTTTGGCCACGCCGCTTCCGTGTCCCGCGATTTTGGGGCGACCTTGTCCCGGATGCGAGCTCCTGCGGCACGTCTGCGGTGAGGACATCTCACGAGGCGCTCGGGATCCGAGATCGTGGCGGCGTGGGCCTCATTGGCTCTTGGAATCGGCAGGACAGTGTTTTGTTTCTCCGTCCGTCAGTTTGGCTCGAGGGGCGGGGGCAGTCTGGCCAAGGCCCGCCGTCCGTCTCCGTCGCCGCTCTCGGGGAAACCGCGTGGAGGCTGCGGAGTTGCGCGGTGCGCGCCTGTTTCTCAGCCTCCGCCGGTATCCTGCCGGCGGCTCGGGCCGGTGCGGACGCCCAGCTCGCGACCGACGAGGCGCGCGCGAAGGCGGAGGTGGAGGCGGAAGCGGACGCCCAGCTCGCGGCCGACGGGGCGCGCGCGAAGGCGGAGGCGGAGGTGCCGCTGCCGCAACCATCTAACTTCATCCTGGGTCGTGAAGCTATGCGAAGGTCGTGGGGCACGGATTGCAGCCACGATGAGGCGCGGGGCCCGAGCTGGGGCCCCTCTTGGTGTTCCCCGGCGCCATCGACGTGGCGTTGTTCGTGGACGTCGCGGGCGGCACGGTGGTGCCCGAGCGCAGGGGCGTGGTGCCCGCGTGGCAGGGGCCGCCGCCGGAGGCGAAGGTGCCCAGCACGGAGTGCCGCAAGAGCACGTGCAACGGCAGGCGGTCCGTGGCGGTCCCGAGCTGCGGCTGGGCCGCAGGGCACCGCCCCGACCCCGCAGGGGAGCCGCTGCGCAGAGGCTCTTGCCAGCGCTGCGGTCGATGGTCAACGGGATTCATGTGCACGGTGGGGGTCTCGGGGTGTCTGGGGCGGCTGCGCCAACTCGGGCCTCGCGCGGGACTTCCTGTCGCTGCCGCGGCGCGGGCACACCGCGGGCTACGAGGCGGAGCGCGGCGACCGCGCCGAGTGCCAGCTGAAGCGCTTCGCCGAGGGCCTCGTGAGCATCAGCGTTTGGCACGGCCACAGGGACGCCCGCTGACGCGGAGAACCAGCACTCCATCGACCAACGCAGCTGGTGTGTTTTCTAGCGCCACCTGAGCAGCTTCGTCAAGGGTTCGCATTGCTACCTGCACATGAGCAGGTTGTTCTTGGGCGCAGAGAAGAAAGCCTGGTGGGACGTGGCGTCGGCGGCGTGCAAGGCCAATCGCGAGCCCATGACTGCCCGCGACGCGTTTGAGCAGATGGTGCGAGAGGGCATTGCGAGCGGCGCGTTCAAATTTACCCGCGGCAAGGACGCGACCTAACTCTGTATGCCGCAGTACCAGGAGGCGTTCGCCAGGCTCCTGAGCAGGACCCGAAAACTCGGATATGCGCGGCTCGGCTGGGGCCCGGAGCAGGGGGCGCAGTTGGCGGCCGCGCTCAACTGCGCGCAGCGCGCGGGGATCGCCGCGGCGGCAGAGTCGCCCCACCTCTGGGGGCAACTCTCTCTCTCTCCGCAGCGACGGGGCCCGGGCGAGCGGCAGGGCGGTCGAGGCGGGCGCGCTGCCGCGCCTCCGCTCGCTCTGCACCTCGCGGGCAAGCGCGCTGGCCGCCACGCGCAGGAGTGGATCAAAGGGGGTGGGCGAAGCTGCAAGATTGCTCCACGCTGATGCGCGAGGTCCCCGAGTTCCGCCCTGCCTGCCATCCCCAGGGAGTGATCGCAGCATCGTTTCGCGGCCGCCCTGCACTGCGGCGAGGTGCCGGCCCTCGCGGAGTTCGAGTCGGCCTTGCATGGTCTGCCAGGATGGCGCCAGCAGCTGGTCTCTTGTCGCTGTCGCAAAAAGACGCGGGGGCGAGGAAGAACAGCGCGAGGGAGGAGCATCCAGTTGCCCGCGGGACGCCCTTGCGATCGTTCGACGGGCGCACGAGGGCCCTAATCTGCGACGCATCGTGCCCCGAAGCTCAAGAATGCTCGAGACAACCGTCGCATGTGGCTGCCGAAATATTTGAGAGCGTCAAAAAAGAGTGTTTTTCCCCGTTTCCGTTCTGCCGTTTCTCTCAGTTCGGGCGCCGCTTGTTCTCCGGTTCCGTCGCCGTGCTTTTTCTGGCTCCGGCTCCGGCTTCGATCCCGGAGCAGCTTCTTCCAGTTTCGGCGCGCCGTGGTTACCAACCTCTGTCATTCTCACCGCGCTCATTATACAGGGCCGTTTTTAATGCATGCTCCGCGTGCGGATCGTGTATTAAAAATGCAGGGATTTAGTATTAAAAACAACGATGAGTTCATGTATAAATTTACTCATGCATTAATCATGTATTAAAAATCAGATATTAAAAATATATCCTATGTCTTGAAAGCTGCCCTGTAAGGATGGAGACTTGAAGAAACGGTGCATCAAGACGCCCCTGCCGTTCCCGACAGCTACCACGGCGCGGGCACCTCCCAGCCGCGATCCCTTTTGCACGGGGGAGTCGAGCTTGGCCCCCCTCTTTGGGGGGGGGGCGCACGGTCCACTGGCGGAGCGGCCGCTGGCGGACCCTTGGCCCTGGACCTCGGCACTGCTGGGCCCCGCTCAGTCAGGAGGGAAAAAACACACAGACACAGTTAGTCGACGGTTCCCCAGAAAATGTGGGAAACGATGGGGAGTGGCGGGAAGACCAAAACGCGGAAAATATGGGGAATCTTGTTAATTGTGTGTATTTATTTGTGCGTCCCAGGTCCCCTTCACTCAGGTGGGGGAAATTGGAACAGGCGCAACTCAGAGCTTGCACTTTCTAGGGGTTCGGAGTTCTGCCTCCAGGAACTGGGCCTCGCCGCCGCCCGTCGTCTGGGCCTGGCCGCCGGTCCGGCGGCAATGTCGCCGCCTCGTCGCCGCCCCGTCGCGCCCCCCCCCGCGTCGCAACCCAATCGATTGCAATCGCCCGCTTTGTTTTGCGCAACCTGGATTCCCCTATTTTAAAGAGCATTAGAATCTACCCCCACCCCCCCTCCCGAGAATTAACGGCCCCTTTTAATCATTGCAATTTACAAACAATTTTGCCCCTATCGCCCATCCTAAATATGAACTCGCACCATCCCAGGCAGGCCGGCACCCGCACCCGACCTCCCTCATCCATTGCAAAGCATACTATGCGCGCACACTCGTTTGTCAAATTTCCTTAATTTCCAAGACCATTTGGAAATTACCCTGCGACGCCCCCAACCCGTCTGCATCAAGTGACAAGAGGAGTTGTCCCAAGTTTGCTTGGACAATGACAGTGCAGCGACGGGCCCTGGCACAGCGGGAGGTGCAGGTCTTGGTCTTGGTCTTGGTGGAGGGTGTGCACGCCAGGACGGCGGCCCTCATCGACCTACCAATTGACGAAGCGCACGACATATCGGCCAAGAGGGGGGAAAGGGATGGAGGAAGAGGGAGGAGGGGGGGAGGGAAGGGGGGAGGACTGGCGGAGGCAAAAACAAGCGGATATCTCGTATCGAAATACAGGGACACACCAAAACACATGATTGCGCAGGGTCCAAAGGACGGAGCGGGGCGGAAGTGGTGCCAACCTCGACCTAGGGTGAGGGAAATCTGAAATGACTCGTCATCTGGACACATGCGCGCTGAAGCCCTGCTGCCCTCCATCCATGTAACTCGACCTACGGTGAGGGAACACTGAAAGTACTCATCGTCTGGGCCCAGATGCGCGCTGAAGCCATGATGCCCTCCATCCATGTACTGATTGGCGCACGTCCTCCATCCGTGCATCACTTGGCCCGCACCACAGAGGGAGGCGACCACCCTCTGAACATCGAACCACGCGCACACTACGCACACCAACGCACGCACACACACACACACACACACTGCACACTGCACACTGCGCCTTCCTTGCGCGCTCCCCGCCCGAACGTCGTTCCCACCTATGCGGATCGCAGTAGGCCTGGTCCTTCCTCGGTTGTATCACACGCCAACAGGATGCAATCGGGTATGGCCAGAACCCCGGGTAAGGGGGACCCGGTTAGTGGTAGGGCCCTGGGGCCCCTCAATTGGCCAGATTCGCTAAGCCAGGTTTGCCGTAGCTGGTGTTTTTCGGGTGACGGCAGTTCTGGTTAGCGGAACGGGGCGGGGGGGGGCGCCCCCCAGTACGCATCACTAAACCAGGTTCCACTAAACCCAGTTCTGCCAGCGCCCGATACAAGACCCCCACTCGAAGAGGCCTGGTGCGAGGCCAGAGCCCGGGACGACGCGTGGCCCGCAGGCGAAGGCGGCGCTCGCAGCCAAGCGAGAGCGCCGGCACTCGCAGCTCGCAGCACGGCGACCAGCCCGGCCAGAGCACCCCTCGAGAACAACCCCCAAGCCCCAAGCAACTGTACCCAGCAGCTCGTGCAACGCTGGCGTCCCTTGTACCCTGGCGCAGACTTGCGAGGTCGATCCCTTGGGACCCGCGAAAAGACATCCGAAAGAACCAGGCCCTTGAACACTCCGCCGGGAGTGCGGTGGTCAGGCGCCCCCCAGCGCCAGCGACTAGTGTGAGACCAGGGGAGACGTCTGGAGACATCAACCGCCCCTGGCACAGGCACTGTCGAGTGATGCCCCCCTGCCCTGACATAAGCCCAGCACGAAACAAGAGACGAACACGGACACCCAGGGCACAATGTGCACAGCGGACCGGAGGTCTATCCGCTGCGCACTGCATGGGTTTGCCGCGTCGGCTCTCTCGCAAAACGCACCTATCGATGAATTGACTCCGACCCCCAGAGCCGACCCGTTGCCCTCCGACCCGGCCGGGCGGCCTGGGCATCCATGGGTCGACACAAACAGATGCCCGTTCCCGGGGTAGCGCAGGAGCTCCTGTCCGACTCGGCGGTCTGTGGACGCGCTGGTCGAGATGGCCAGTCTCGACCCGGCGCCGCAGCCCCAGGGGCAGGGCGTGGTGCAGTGAAGATCATGGGCGCGCCCCAGTCCGGGAGGTCTGCACTGAATCCACGGGCTCGCCCACGCCCGAGCGGCGCAGCACGCCTCAGGCCGGGCGCCGACGCCCTTGGTTTGGCAGCATCAGTCGCAGGACATGCAGAACGCCTCGGTGGACCTTCCCCCGAAAAGACGTGCACATCGTGGAGAACCGTTGTAACGTCGACCCACTTCGGCTCGAAGCACACACACACACACGCACGCGTATGGCAGGCACACCTCGGAACATGAGCTCCACGAACTCATATTGCATAACCCCGCCGCGTGGCGGGAGGCGCAGGCCGTGCAGGCGGGCACCCCGTCGGGCGGGGCTCGGCGCCCGCCGCCGCGGGCGCCACCCGAGAGAGAGAGAGAGAGAGACGGGGAGCGAGAGAGGGCGAGAGGGAGAGAGAGAGAGAGAGCGATAGAGAGAGGGAGAGAAAGAGAGAGAGAGAGAGAGAGCGAGAGAAAGTGAGAGAGAGAGAGAGTGGTGCGACACCACACGTCCACATCAGGTCATGGATCTCCCCTCTTCTTCTTCTCCTCTTCCGTGCGAGAGCGAGAGAGAGAGAGAGAGGCGCGACGCCACACGTCTACGGCGGGGTATGGAGCTCCCCTCTCCTCCCCTCTCGGTGCCCCTGCCTCCCATGGAGAGGACTCGCCCTCCGCTCTCCTCGCTTCCACGGGCCGGCCCTCCGCCCTCCTCACCCCCGGGAGCCGGCAGGCGGGGGTCAGCCAGGGCACCGGATCCTGCAGGATCTTGCGAAGACCCCCTCTGGCTGACCCGGGTTAGCGAGCCGCTCGTGGCCACGAGGCGGCCGCGCATATTGGCTGACCCGGGTTTGCGAAGCCCTGCGTTGCAGTTCTTGTTTCCTGCAGTGCAGTTTTTTGGTCTCCTGCTGACCCGGGTCTGGTTGACCTGGGCTAGCAGATCCCCGACTTCAAGGCGCCGAGAAAAGGACCGCTTTTCACCGGGCGTCTCCCACTACTCACAGAGTGCCTACTCGCAGACGTCCGTGCTTCTCTGTGTAATGTGTCGTGCATCCCCCGCGGCGGATCCAGGCCATCTGCGAGCAGCTACTCTGCGAGCAGTGGAGCGCGCTTGTCCTGCTTTGGGCTTGGCAGGGGCCCCGTCAGGTCCGGGGGACTCTCCTCGTGGCCGAGGCTCGCCGGGGCCAGAACGGCCCTTCGACCTCCTTATCTTGCGCTCCTGGCAGGTCCTGGCGGTCCAGAGGCGACGACAGGGGCGAATAGCCTAGGGGGTAACAATACACGTATCAGGTGCGCCGATGATCTATGTCTTCGAAAAGGCTCCCGGGCGAATACGTGTAATGCCCGCCCCTGGGCTATTCGCCCCTATCGTCGCCGCCGAGTGGTATCGCGACGATTGCAGCGCGCGTGCGGTCGTCGTCGTCGTCGTCGTCGTCGTCGTCGTCGTCGTCGCCGTCGTCGTCGCCGTCGTCGTCGTCGTCGTCGTCCTCGTCCTCGTCCTCGTCGTCGTCGTCGTCGTCGCCGCTGTCGTCGTCGTCGTCGTCGTCGTCCTCGTCGTCGTCCTCGTCGTCGTCGTCGTCGTCGTCGTCGTCGTCGTCGTCGTCGCCGTCGTCGTCGCCGTCGTCGTCGTCGTCGTCGTCGTCCTCGTCCTCGTCCTCGTCGTCGTCGTCGTCGTCGCCGCCGTCGTCGTCGTCGTCGTCGTCCTCGTCGTCGTCCTCGTCGTCGTCGTCGTCGTCGCCGTGGCGGCCTGCCCCTGACTTTTTCTTCTTGATTATATTACTCTTAGATAATATCGTTCTGGATTTCTTAAACTCGCCATATACCTTCTACCAATTGTTGGAAACGAATATTTATATTTTCTTCTGCAGCCCTCCCCGCCGCTGCCGCCGGCGCGCCCTCCCGCCGCTGCCCGCGCGGGGCGCGCGCGGCCCCCCCCCCTTCCGGGGGGCTCTCGGCGCTCCGCCCACGGAGGCGGGGCTCGCCTCGGCTCCTCCGGCTGCGGTTCGGTCCGCTGCCTGCCGGTGGCTTTGCCGCTTCCGCTTCTCGACTCGGCCTTGGATCCTCCTCCTCCTCCTCCTCCTCCTCCTCCTCATCCCCCTCCTCCTCCTCCTCCTCCTCCCCCTCCCCCCTCCTCCTCCTCCTCCTCCTCCTCCGATTTGGCTTGGCATCGCTCGGCCGCGTGCACTTTTCCTTCGGCGAGGACCATCGAGGAGCATCCTTGATCATTTGGCGAAGAAACAAAAACACGCACGAAGCCGAAAAACGCACAGGGAATGGACGTCCGAGCGATGGCCAGTTGAGCCTCGGTCGCCGATCCGACTTTTCGATTCGATTCTGGGCTCTCCTGCAGAGGGCGTGGTGGAGTCCTGGGAGCCTCGCGGCGATCCGAGTGGGCGCCCGACTCCGCGCAGAATTTGTATGTTTGTGTCGGCTTCCCCTTCCCCTACGACTCCTTCCTGTTCCGCCCCTGTTTATTTCTCGTCCAGAATCCGCCTGTACGGGCGTTCTGTGTGGTTTGCACGACGTGTTCTTGGAGCAGTTCTGGCTGAGACTGCCTTGTTTGAATGCGTCCTTACGGGAGAGGTCCTGGGAGTAGCGGTATCGGTAGCTCGGTAGCTTTCTGGCTTCCCCAGATGTCGGCCAGACGCCCAGGCCCTCGTGTCCCCTGCTTTCGCCCCTGCGAGCAGCGTCGGCGTCGAGAGAGTGTGTCTCCCGCCCCTGCTCCCAAGAGAGGTCGGGACAGGCCATTCGCCCCGTCTCCCAAGGCCTCTGCTTCCTCGAGAGGCCCGTGCCGCCCCGTCTTCCCCGTCTTGCGCTCGGGCTCCCGAGAGCGCGGGAGCGGCTGCGGACCCGCCCGGCTCCAGGACCGACCGAGGGGGTGCGGGAAGGAGCAGGCGAGGACGAGCATTAGGTCGGGCCTGTCCCCCTACAGGGGGATTTTGGACGAAAAATAAGAAATACCCAATACATATTCAAAAGAGGCTCAAAAATGGTCAAAAATCGTCCCCTGATTTTTTTGACACTATTTCTGAATATCCCCCCTGTAGAAGGACAGGCCCGACTTAAAACGGGCAGAGTGGAGCACGCGACGGAGCAGGGGGGAGGCCCCCCCCCTCCAACTCCTGCTCCTCCTGCTCCTGCTCCTCCTCCTCCTCCTCCTCCTCCTCCTCCTCCTCCTCCTCCTCCTCCTCCTCCTCCTCCTCCTCCTCCTCCTCCTCCTCCTCCTCCCCCCCCTCCTCCCCTCCCCCGTCCCTCTTCTCCTCCTCCTCCTCCTCCTCCACCTTCTCCTCCCTCCTCCTCCTCCTCCTCCTCCTCCTCCTCCTCCTCCTCCCTCCTCCTCCTCCTCCTCCTCCTCCTCCTCCTCCTCCTCCTCCTCCTCCCCCTCCTCCTCCCCCTCCTCCCCCTCCTCCTCCCCCTCCTCTGGAGGCCTTCGGAGGCCCTCGCAGGCCCCTCCGTGCCAGCGCGCGCGTGCGATCGGCTGCGCGACGGCCGCGGGCCTCGGGCAGGAGCCGGTCCGCGTGAGCGCCGGCAAGGCGCCGCCGCCACCGCCGAGGACCTGGGAGGCGCCGTACGGAGGCAGCCCGCGGGGCAGGGAGGGGCGCCTCAGGACGCGGGGGGGGGAGCGGGAGAGGGGGGGGGGGGGCAGGAGGGGCCAGGATGAGCGAGGAGGAGGAGCGAGGAGGAGCGAGGGGGGGAGGGCCAGGAGGAGGAGGAGGAGGAGGAGGAGGAGGAGGAGGAGGAGGAGGAGGAGGAGGAGGATTAGAGGATGATGATGATGATGATGATGATGATGATGATGATGATGATGATGATGATGATGATGATGATGATGGTGATGACGATGACGATGTGTGTGGTGGGGGTGAGTATGACGATGACGGAACTTGTGATTGAGGTGATGATGATGAGGATGATGATTGTGATAATGATGATGATGATGATGATGATGATGATGATGATGATGATGATGATGGTGGTGGTGGTGGTGGTGGTGGTGGTGGTGGTGGTGATGGTGGTGATGATGATGATGATCATCATCATCATCATGCTGGTGATGGTGATGATGGTGATGATGATGCTATGATGCTATGATGATGCTGCTGCTGATGATGATGCTGATGAGGATGGGGATGAGGATGATGATGCTGATGATGCTGATGGTGATGGTGATGGTGATGGCGATGGTGATGGTGATGGTGACGGTGATGGTGGTGGTGATGATGATGACGATGATGATGGTGATGGTAATGGTGATGGTAATGGGATTGGTGATGCTGGTGATGCTGATGCTGGTGATGGTCATGGTATTATGATCGTAATGGTGAGTCTGGTGATGGTGACGATACCGCATATGCTGGTTTTCATGATGATGATGCAGATGATGCTGACCATGATGATGCTGCTGATGATGATGACGGTGATGATGATTGTGATGATGATGATGATGATGATGATGATGATGATGATGATGATGATGATGATGATGATGATGATGTAGACGTCGGTAATGACGTTGGTGATGATGCACAAGACAACGACGATGACGCTGATGACGTTGATGTTGGCGACGGTGATGGTGACGACGGTGTTGAAGATGATTATAATGATGATAATGATGATGCATATGATTGTGGTGGTGATGCTGATGACCACACTGATTGTTCTGATACTGATGATGAAAATGTTGATGCTGATGATGATGGTGGTGATGGTGATGGTGATGGTGATGATGATGATGATGTTGATGATTATGATGATGATGTTCATGATGATGGTGACGGTGATGATGATAATACTATTAATGGTGACGGTGCTGCTGATGGTAATTATGGTGATGATGATGGTGATGATGAAAATGATGTTGATGTGAATGTCGATTGTGATGATGATGATGCTGCTGATGGTGGTGGTGATGATGATGGTGATGCTGATGATGATGATGATGATGATGATGATGATGGTGATGACGATGACGATGTGTGTGGTGGGGGTGAGTATGACGATGACGGTACTGGTGATTGAGGTGATGATGATGAGGATGATGATTGTGATAATGATGATGATGATGATGATGATGATGATGATGATGATGATGATGATGATGATGATGATGATGATCAGGATCATGTGGATGATGATGATGATGAGGAGGATGATGGTGATGATGATGCTGACGATGATGATGAGGATGATGATGAGGAGGAGGAGGATGATGACGATTGTGTAGAACGGGATTTGTAGTGGTAGTGTGGTGAGCAAAGAGGGAATGATGAGGACAATGGGGGTGTAGGAGGGAGAAGGAGGAAGAAGGTCTACTCCACGGATGTCCTGTAATTAGGGTAGCGGGGCCCGCTGCTGCACGCACTGGGGCTGCAGCCGAGCTGGCCGAAGAACACCCCCACGCGGTGGACAGCGCTTTCCTGCGGCACTCCGCCCGACAGCCCGCGCCAGCTGCCCCTCCTCCTCCTCCTCCTCCTCCTCCCTCCTCCTCTCCGCCTCCTCCTCCTCCTCCTCCTCCTCCTCCTCCCCTCCTCCTCCCCTCCTCCTCCTCCTCCCTCCTCCTCCTCCTCCTCCTCCTCCTCCTCCTCCTCCTCCTCCTCCTCCTCCTCCCCCGCCCCGGGAGCCGCGCGCCGAACCGCCGCCCCCCAGAGGCCCAACCCCCCGCGCCTCCCGCCCGCAGACGGCCGCGCTCGCTCCCAGGGGGCAGCGCGGGCTGCCGGCACGCGCCCCGCCCCCCCCCTTCTTCAAGCAGTAGTCAGCGGGCGAAGAACGGTACAAAATAAACTTTTTCGCCGTCGGGGACACCTGCCCCTGGGCGGCTGGAAAGTTTATACCCCTACGGTGCCACCGCAAGGGTATAAACTTTCCAGCCGCCCAGGGGCAGGTGTCCCCGACGGCGAAAAAGTTTATGTTATACCGTTCTTCGCCCGTTAGAGCAGCGAAGCGCCCTGGCTCGCCCATAGCCCCACCAAGCAGCGTTCTAAGAGCCTGCTGTGGCTTCCGCGAGAGGTTCTTCGAAGATTTCTGGCTGGGGCTGCCTCGTTTTGTCACATCGGGCTTGCGTTCTAGGAGCTCTGCTTTTGATCCTAGAACATTTCTGGGGCTCCAAGGACATGTCGTGGCAGGACTATAGGAATGCCGGGCGGCCGGTCCCTGCTCAAGAGATCCCGCGGGTCACGAGGCACCCGGCCCTCGCTTTGACCCCGCGTCGCGTCGGAGTGTCTCCCTCGCGTCGCCGGGCTGCCACGCCTCTCCACGCGGTCCCCCGCCAGCTCGAGCGGCTCGGGGGCAGGCGGGGGACGGAGAGGGCCAGCGGAGGCGTCGGGGGCCCCTCCTGGCGAGTGCACTCTCAGAGGAGGGCCTGCTGAGTCGGCTACACGCAGGAGTACATAACCCTCTTGCAGGAGTGACCTGTGGTGCGGGCTCACAGGGCCCCCGCATTGTTTTTCAATCTGGTAGTTGGCCTTCGCCTCGGAAGGTTCACTGGCTCTCTCCTCTAGAGTCAAGTGCAAGGCGAAGCCGAATGCGGAAAGTGACCGTGGTATGTTATTCATTTGACGCTTCAGATCAGCAAAGTGGCCGAACGAATCTTTGCCAACTGGCTTCTCCCATGTTTCGGATGTATCCGTGCATACGGTCGTAACCTGTTCGCCTAACACCGTGGCCGGGGGTATCGCGACGCCTTCGTTTTCACAGTGTGCCACTGGGTATGGGCAGCAGTCGGGACAGGCCGCCGGGTTGCAGCCTGCTGCTCCGCCGACGTGTCCGATGCAGTTGACACGGTACGATCCTCTAGACTTCTCGCGGAACTACGCGCCGCCGGCATTTCAGAGGGATTGGCGAAAGTAATATCTGCTTGGCTGGAGCTTCGCACTGCCAGGGTCTGCGTCGACGGCGTCGTATCCGAACCTTTCCCGCTGGAGAACATGGTATTCCAGGGGACTCTGCTCGGCTCTACGCTTTGGAACGTGTACTGCGCTGACGGGGGGCCGTTCCGTTACAGGTCATGGGTTCCAACAGTGAGTTTTTGTTGACGAACTCAGATGTTGGAGGATACACGGTGGCTTCCGCAGCTATCCTGGAACCGTGGATGCATGTAATTTGTTGTCAATGTCGTTCCAACATTGCGGCGCCGCAGAGCAAGTCTTGCTCGAAGCTGTAGGGGAACATCTTAGAGAAGCTTCACCCGCACGGCGAGAACTTCAAAGTATTTGATGGCCGTCGGTCCATCCGGCCACCGTGCCTGGGTTGGGGGTCGGAGTTCTCGGGGGTGTTTCCTGGGGACGCTTTGGAGCGATCTCGGTGGCCTCGTGGGGGCAGTTGTGGGGCCTCTTGGGATCCTGGCAGCTCGATCGGTGCACTGCGGAACTCGCATGTCACGTATACGCATGGACACCCTCATCGGCCACTACATGTCCATTCGCTGCATACCATCTGGATTCCTCGTGCCTCCACGAAAACCATGACCCTGCCAAGCTGCGGCAACACCTCCCCATTCACCTCCTCCGTCGCCATGCGACTCCTTGCTCAAGCAGGTTTCGCGCAGAGAGGGCCCAGGCCCCCGCCGCAGCGCCGCGGGGAAGCCCAGTGCCCGCGCCACCCGCGGTGCGCCACCAGCGAGCCACAGAGGACAGCCTCGGCGCTCGGAGAGCGCCCCGAAGAGCCACGGCAGGCCCTGCACGGAACCGACGCTGCGCCCGCCACGACCACGACGAGCTCGAGCAGTTCGACAGCGCCCGCCAGCACAAGCTGAACCGCTACGGCCAGCACCTGCCAGTACCCCTGCCAGCGGCCGCGGCGCCTACATTGCCAGCACTACTTCGGCGTGAAGATGACGGCGGCAGCGGCCGCACCAGCAGAAGAGGAGACGCAGGACAGGCCACTGGAGGCCGAGCCGCCGGGAGCGCCGAAGAGAGGAGTCTGGCGCCCCCCCCCTGAGATCCCCGGACTCGCGCGGCTCTGGGCCAGGCTCGGCGCAGCCCACAGCGGAGGGCGCCCCGCCGCTCGCCGAGGCCAGGCTCGAGACGCCGCCTGTCCACCGGCGCGACCAACCCGAGGACGAGGAGATGGGCGGCGACGAGGGCGAGGGGCGCGACCGCAAGAGGACCAAGCAGCAACGAGGAGGAGGAGGAGGAGGAGGAGGAGGAGGAGGACGACGACGACGGGCACGCAAAGGGGAGCATCCAGCCAAGACGTGGAGCAGCAGGGACAACAACTTGATGGCATTACTCCAGGCAGTACTGGAACTGGTCCTCCAGACGGCGCACAGCAATCGCATGGCCACGTCAGTCTGCATCGGCACCTACACCATGCCAGCCAAGCGTCCCACGGTCACGAAACTCAGCGCCGAGCTGGAGGGCTACAAAGCGACACTCGACAGGCTGCGCTGCCAGGGGGCCGAGGGCAAGTAGAGGATAAAAGGATATCGGCTCCCCCGCAGCGAGCATGGGCTTCGCGGCCCTGGAAGGCGAGCTGCAGTGCGACGCCGGGGGCGCAACCAAGCGCGAGCCGAAAACATACATCGCGAAGTGCCAGCCCAGGACCATCTCACCGACCCAGAAGTGGACAGGGACGACATCGAGCTGGAAATCAGTTTCATCAGGCTGGAGAATTGCTACGACGCGCAGAACATGCAGGTCATCGTGGGCGCGCCTTCCCAGGAAGGCCGCAAGCTCATCCAAAGGGCCTTCAAAAACGAGGGCATCGCAGTGAATCGCATGGGAGTGGCTCCAGCGGGTTGGTTCGATGACAAAGCAAGCCATTGGCCGAAGACGATCTCGGATTGGCTCTAGACGTGGAGCGCCAGCCACATCATCAGCCTGCCCAGCGAGCAGTATAGTTCGTGAGTAGAGGTCTGATGCCAGGCTCGTTGCCAGCCCCGACCCCCCCCGACTCAGAAATTGGCGCTGATTTGCCAGCGCGACTTCTGAGCGCGTCCAGCCGGCAGCCCACCGACTTGGATAGTCTCGAGGCCGACGAGGCGGCCGCAGCAGAGTTGCTTTCGTGATTAAACCGTCGCCCGTCTGGCTTTCTGATTCGCGAAACACTGGCTGGCACTCGCACCGAGCGCACTTCAGAAGACCAATGCCTTCTGCGGCGAGCCGAATATCTTGCAATATGCGATAAATGATTATATATACATTCTTTGTTGGCTCCGCCGTCGAGAAAACAGTGGTGATGATGATGATGCTGGTGATACTGACGACGACGATGTAGATGATGACGACGACCACGACGATGCGAATAATGATGACGCTGACGAACAGGACGGCTACTATGACGATGCCGCTGATGATGATCTTGATAATGGTAATGATGGTGGTGGTAGTGATGATGACGACAATGACGACGAGGGCGACAGTGATGATGCCGCCCCGTAGGCAAGCAGGCAGAGAGCACGGGCCTCGTGGCGATCTTGGGCATGATCCACGAGGACCAAGGGAGCCGCACGCCCGCCCCCCGACCAGAGGCCCCCGTCCGCCTGCACGGGTCCGTGGCATCCTTCCCCGGCCCCTCCTCCTCCTCCTCCTCCTCCTCCTCCTCCTCCTCCTCCTCCTCCTCGTTTCCCTCGGGCCGTGGATCGACGATCAAGACTCGAAGCTCGAGGTCGAGGATCGAGGTTTCAACATCAGCGTGCGAGACTCGAGGTCCGAGGGTCTATTGGTGGGGCCATCCGGATGTGTGAACTGACCACTGCACCAGTACACCGTTTTGGCATAGGGTGTATTTCACAATTTCACCACATGGGACACGGCGCACGGTTTACACCGTTACATCATTTCACAATATGGCAAATATGTAACCTCTACACGATACGATTACACAGCGGCACGTTCACACCGCTGCACCATTACATCATGTTGAAAAGTGTACGGTTCACACCACTACACCCTTACACCATTCGGAAGATTGGGTCAAGCTTTACACCACTACATCAGTACACCGTCGTGGGGAGCGGCTTAAGCACTACACCACTACACCATTGCACCAGTCTTGACAACGGTGTAAGCTTTATTCCCGGGCGTCGCATTGCTGAGAGGGGGGTCGGGCTGGCTTGCTGGATCAGGCTTCTGAGGGGGGGGGCGAAAGCCGCGCCCTAAGGATCCGTAGGTGGGGGGGGGGGTGCAAACATCCTCTGCGGCCCGTCCAGCCAGCCGCCGGCTTGACCAGTCTGTTGAGGTAGGGGGTCACGCTGTTGATGGGGGGGGGTTAATGCCCCCTGTCAGGATCCTCTGGGGGGGTCCAGAAACACCCTCAGCAGCCCGTCCAGCCAGCCGCCGGCTTGACCAACCTGCTGAAGGGGGCGTGATCTCGCCGAAGGATCGCAGTGTAATGGTGTAGTGGTGTAATGGTGCAGTGGGTTGCTGAGGGTGTTTCTGCACCCCCCCCAAGGATCCTTCGGGGAGGGTTCCAGAAGCGTCCTCAGCGGCCCGTCCAGCCAGCCGCTGTCTGGACCAGTCTGCTGAGGGAGGGGGACAAGGCTGCTGAGGGAGGGGGTCGTTTGCTCAAGCCGGCAGGACCGAAGTCTGCAGTTTTCTAGGTCTCTGGAGCGTTTGTCGCTGCCACGGCGGAGCGTAGCCCGGACAACTGGTGCGCCTTGAACCCCCTTAAAAGGTCCGAGGAATATGTCAACGGGCAGGCACGGCCCAGAAAAGACGGAGTGGGAGAAATGAAAATATGGAGGAACTTAGCGGAGGACAAGGACAATGTATGATGTATGTTAAGGGACGAATTTGTTCCAATATCTGATAAGTTGCATTATGGCCGTCTTGTGTTTGTGATGGGCCGTCATGGAATCATTTCCGGATATCTCTGAACCCTCCTTGGAGGGTCGCAGAATGGGGTTTCGACCCTCTCTTCCCCTGAGGATCATCAGGGGGGTCAAAACCACCTCCTGCTTTCTGATATATAACGTGCATCTTCGCGCTAGATCGCGCTATGGTGTAATAGGACGTCACAGGGATCTGTTGGGCCATCTTGAAAAGCGGTTGTGCCGATTCGAAGCCACGACCCGCCGTCTCTGAGCCCTCCCGAGGGTGCAGAATGCGGTTCGGACAACCCCCCTAAGGATCCTCCCGGGGCGTCAGAACCGCACCAGCGAGCAAGATCTTGCTCGCAGGTATGCAGCCTCCGTACACCAGGCAGTGTAATGGTGTAGTGGTGTAAAGCCTACACCATCCCTCAAAAAAGGTGTCATGGCGTAGAGGTGTAGAAACCAAGCCATCCCACACAATAGGGTAATGGCACAATGGTGTAATACCTCCGCCATTCCAAGAATGGCGGAATGGTGCAACGCGGACACTACTGTATTCGCGTGATGGTATAAGGGGGTGATGGTGTAAAGCTTGCACCCTTCAACACAGCCGTGTAATGGCGGAATGATGGGGCGCGTGCGCAATTGGGTAACATGATATACCGGTGTAACGCAAACACTAATGTCCAAAACGGTGCAGTGGTGTAGTCGTGCAGGCTTCAGCTCTCAATTCCAGAGCGAGGATCGAGGTCCGACAAAGATTGAGGTTTGAGGGTCCTCCCTCCCTTCTCCACGCCTCCCTCCCGTCCACGCCTCCCGCCTCCGCCCATGCATTCCTCAGGTCCGCACCCCAGCCCTTGAGATCCTGGCGTCTCACTGCTTGGAGCCAGACGTTTTTTTTCCGCGTGCTTTCGGGTCCCAGGACCCTCTCAGGTTGACCGGGCTCGAAAAATGGCGCAGGATGCTGGGGTCTGGGGCTCCCGTCTCGTGATGTTGCAGTACGCCTGCTGCGTCGGATCCCAGGGACGCCCACGGCACCAGCCTCTGTCCATCCCCCCCGTGCAGGTCCGCACCCCCGCTCGTGCCCCCCCGTGCCTCCCGTCCGCACACCCGCCCACCCATCCATGCCCGCCCTCTCGTAACAGTTGCTCAGCTGCTCTTTCTCCTCCGCCTCCATCTTGTTCTCCTCCTCTCTCTCCTCCTCCTCCTCCTCCTTTTCCTCCTCCTCTTCCTCCTCCTCCTCGTTCTCCTCCTCCTCCTCTTCTCCGTTGTCCTGCTTCTGCTGCTACTGTCTCTCCTCCTTTTCCTCGGTAGCCGGGCGGATGCACGCCCCACCGCGCGAGGAGAGGCGCGGGCAATGACGGGCCGGGTACACCATATGACGCATTTGCATGTGATGCTATGCCCTGGCGTTACGTGTGGGGCCGGGAGGGACCGCTCCTGAACAACGGTCGCCGCAGCTCTTCGAGTTGCGTGGTGTCCTCACACGCCTACGGATTGGGGACACAGCTTGGTTCTACCCCCATAGGAAGATTCACAAAAACCCTGCCAGACACCACTCGGCATTCTACCACACCTCAGTGCGCGTGGGGCGCGATGGTGGATACGGTCACGAACTTTTGAACAGCGTGCCGCTCCGCTGGTCTTGGCCCACCATGTTTCGGTGCGACAGGCTATCCACTTCCTGGCCCGCAAGCGTCAACGTCCCGAGCTTTCCCGAACCTCCCGCCCCGCGGAGCGGAGCGACACGATATCCACCCGCAAAGAGTAGCGTGTCGCCGGGGCCGCCGTGGCGACACGCTATCCAAAAGCTCCCGACCGTAGCGCCCACCGGCATCGCCCGCAGCCGTTCGGAGCAGAGCAGAGAGTGACAGGCGCCACCGCGTCGCCAGCACATTCCGTTCGGACGGTGGGTCGCGGGCTCCGTGAGAAGGCTCCCGCGGTGGCTTGCGGGAGAGCCTCGCTCGTCGCACCAGGAGTGGGCCTGCCCAAAGCACCTCGCTGGGCGTTGCACCCACTGCGGCTCACTCGCTCCCTCCTCCCTCCTCTTCCTCCTACTCCCCCTCCTCCTCCTCATCTATCTCCTCCTCCGCATGATGATTAGCATCATCATCATCATCATCATCATCATCATCATCATCATCATCATCATCATCATCATCATCGTCATCAGCAGCAACAACTTTTTCAGCAGCATCAGCATCATCATCATCATCATCAGCAGCAGCAGCATCATCACTATCATCCGTAGCCAATTTGGCTCGAGGATCGAATCACGCAGCGGCAGTCGTGGGTCAGATGCGGAAAGGGGCCAACCAGCAAGGAATGGGCAAGTTCATCAAGGCCGGCCGCGTAGTGGTTCTCCTGCAGGGCCCGGCAAGAAGGCAAGCGTGGTGAAGGCGTTTGACGACGGGTCCAGGGTGCGCCCATTCGGTCATTGCCTCGTCGCCGGCATGGACAAAGCCCCTCTGAAGGTAACGAAAACCATGGGCAAGAAGAAGATTGCCAAGCGGACTCGCGTGAAGTCTTTCGTGAAGCACGCGAACTACAACTACATGATACATACTCGCTAACAGGTGCCCGCCGAGGTTGGTTTGCAGCTTTGGCATTTGGGTGACTGACCAGCAGGTGGACAACAGCGACGGCTTCGTGGAGGCCAAGAAGTTAATCAAGAGTCACTTCCAGGAGAAGTTCACGAATCCGCCAGCAGACAAGGCGGGCAAGCCCTCCAAGGATGTCCTCTACCTCCAGAAAAAAAAAGCTACGCTTCCGAGGATGGCGCGGCGGCATGCGAACGTGATGTCTGCTCATCAAGAACAAACAACAATAAACAAATCATCATCATCATCATCATCAGCAGCAGCATCATCAGCAGCATCAGCATCATCATCATCATCAGCATCATCGTCATCAGCATCATCATGATCATCATCCCCAGTCTCATCCTCATCATCACCATTCTCATCGGTGCGAGAAGTGCTTCTCAAATACGGATACTATCCGTCGGCATTCGGAGGCTCGAGTGCGAAAGGATCCTCCGAGCTGTCCTGAGAGAGGAGGCTCTGCGATTTCGGGCCTGGTAACTCTCCAGGCCCCATCTTCACTTGTGTGCCTCTTCGCCTGTGCATCATCGGCGTTCCCATCTCTTTCGGCTCCTCACACACACGCGCGTTCGAGCGCACTTCCTGGCGGCGCTCTCGTGGATCTTCGGCACTGTCTCGAAGATGGTGCAGCTGACGCCGGCGCCACGCCGGCGGCTCCAGCAAGCAAGCGCGGGGCCGTCGGCTCGGCGGGCACAGACCAGGACGCGAGGGGCCTGGCGACCAACGCGGCCAAGAGCGCTACGGGCCTGGACGGGGCCAACAGGCGGATGCAGGGAGTTCTAGGGCAGGTGGCGATCGCGGCCGAGCTTCGCCCGTACCTGGAGCCGATCAAGAAGGGTACCAGGCAGAGTGGCACCGAGAAGAGAAGGCGGCATCGCCCTCGGAGGAGGTCGCCGTACTCGTGCCAGCTCACCTGCGTGCGCGGGTCGAGCTCGTGAACTTCGCGAGGCAGGACCAGGCGGCCCCAGAGGAGAAGGTTTAAGGCCCTGATCGCGTGCCATCAGAGCCTGAAGGGCATCGAGGCGATCTGAGGCCATGTGCTCACGTGCTACCAGAAGAAGGCGTATCGGCAGAAGGCGCGGGGCGACAAGGACCGCTACAAGATCCACCTCATGGTGATTCATTCCCGAACGCAGGAGCGTCACGAACGAGATCCTCGCCGCCATCGCGTCGAAGCCAGAGGTCGAAATCAAGCGCGGGGCTCCACCTCGCAATCCAGACTTTCGGAAGGTCGTGGCCAGCCTCGTGAAGGTCGGGGAGTCCAAAAAAGCAGCCGCGGACGTGACGGCGACCAGCGTCGGATCTACACAATCCCGGGGGCCGAGAGTCGGATCTACACAATCCTATCGGCCAAGCGCCGCATCTACACAATCCCATGGGCCGAGACGACCGTCGGATCTACACATCCCCAGGAGCCACACGTCGGATCTACACAATCCAGAGAAGTGCAGTAGCAAGCGTCCTGATGACTGGGATGGACTTGGTCGTGTGGGTGGGCGCACTGAGGGCAGAGCACGACCAGGTCGCGTTGTCCACGGCGCCCAACTGAGAGGCCTTTCGGCTACCCCGCCAGCATCGATTTCAGGGGAGCGCGCTTTGAGCAGCAGTGATGATGTGAAGTTTTGCCGAGGAATCTAGTCACGTGCTGGAGTTCTGCGCAGCAGTTGGCGACGATCAGGTGTCCGGAGGTGCCCTGCTGCACTGGGAGGTGGAGGCCCTCTTGCCGCTATTGCCGCCCCCGTGCCAGTTTGGGGGCCAGTGCTTCGTGACAGGAGTGTCTTCACACACGTTTTGTCACTCAGAAGTGCGCAGTGGGCCTCCCGCGGACTTTGGGAGGGCCTTTGCATCGCGAGCCTCGCGACTGTGACTCCAGCTTGCTGAAGCAATCTCTCGGTTGCGTCAAGCGGCGGGCAGGGAGTCTTACCGCGCCAGAAGAAGAAACATATTTGCATCACCTTCATCAGCAGCACCACTATCAGCACCACAATCGTCATCACCATTATCACCACCATCGTTTTCGTCCTCGTCCTCGCCCTCGTCTTCCCCACCCTATTTACCCTCCCCCCCTCATCATAATCATCACCACCATCACCATCACAATCACAATCATCGTCAGCATCACCGTAGTCACCGTCATCACCACCATTACAATCACAACCACCATCGTCAGCAGCATCATCATCAGTAGCATCACCATTGGCGTCGTCATCGTGATCATCAGCAACGACACCAGCGCCGCCGTCATCGCCATCATCATCCTCATCATCATCATCATCATCATCATGACCACCATCAGCATCATCATCTGCATCATCATCACCCTCATCATCAACAGCAACACCGACATCATCTTTGCAACCTCCATAATCACCATTATCGTCGCCATCCGCATCCCCATTCCCATCCCCATACTCATCCTTTTTATCCCTCATCCCGCACCCCTTTTACCCCGCATCTTCATCCCTCATCCCACCACCGCCGTCATCATCACCACCACCATCACCATCATCACCATCATCACCATCATCATCATCACCGTCCATCATCATCGTCATCCGCATAATCATCACCATCGTCATCATCACCACTATCATCGTCATCGTCATCAGCATCATCATGCCCATTCCCATCCTCATCATTTTATCCCCCGTCTCTCATCCCGCATCGCTCGTCCCTCATCCTTCACCCTTCCCAACCCCAGGCCACCTTCGCGCCACAGGCTTCCGAACGCCGTGTCTCTCGCCGACGCGCTGGCCGCCCGGGCTGCCCTTCCGCCTCTCTGCCCAGCGCGCGGGTTTCCTCGTTCGCCCCAGCGGGGCTGCAGCCCAAGCCGTGGCCGAAGTGCACCGTGCTGACCAGGCGCGTTCCATGCCGAAACCGCCGCCGCCCGGCCTGGGAGCCCTCGCGGCTTTGCCGCGGCCCGCCCAACCTACCACGACCTCGGAGTTCTCCTCGATCGCGCACGGGCGCTGCCGCACAAGGGAAGAGACGACCCAGCGCGTCGTGCACCCGACAACCTCACCAAGCAGCACCTGTTCCAGTCGCTCCCCTTTCATAGTTTCAGGCGCCACTAGCCCAGACCCGTGCTTTGTGATTTTGTTATGCGATGTTTTGATGTGTTTGTGTTCGCGTGTTCCTTGTCATGGCCTTTTTCTTGACAGCCGATGATAAGCCTTCGTGCAAACCGTGGACACAGCTGGCACTCCTCCTGGAGGAGGAGGAGGAGGAGGAGGAGGAGGAGGAGGAGAGGAGGAGGAGGAGAGGACGATGATGAGAAGGAGGTGGAGGAGGAGGAGGAGGAGGAAAAGGAGGAAGAGGAGGAGGACGAGGAGGAGGAACAGGACGAGGAGGAGGAGGAGGACGAGGACGAGGACGAGGAGGAAGAGGAGGAGGAAGAGGAGGAGCGCCGCGGCGGCCACGAAGGCGCGCCCGCGCAGGGCGAAGGCCGGCACCCAGGCGCACAGGTGGGCGCTTCGCGGGGCCTCGTCCAGCCGAGGCGGCGCCCCCCGCCGCCACGAGAAGCGTCGGCACCGCCCCGGGCCGCGGCGCCGTGCGGCCGCGCGCAGTGCACGGCGGAGCGATCCTCGCCAGGCGCTGCCCACGGCACCTGCGCTCGCCCTCGCGCGGAGGTGCTCTCGCTGTGAGTTGGTACGTCGGTTGCTCTCGCTCGGCTCCCGTGCCCTTTTGGCCTGTGAAGCACGTGGGCGGTCTGGGCGGGGTCCGCACTGTCCCCTCCCCCCACGCCTCTCCTCCCCTCCTCCTTTTCCTGCCCCCACTTTCCCCCTCCTCAAGCGTTCCGTCCTCCGCTTCGTCCCCTCCCCATGTTCCTCCTCCTTCTCCTCCTCTTCTCCTCCTCTTCTCCTCCTCCTCCTCCTCCTCCTCCCTCTGGGCGTGCGGTCTCGGAGGCACCCGACAAGCGGTCCCCGGCAGCCGAGCTCGCGGTGTCCCTACAGGCTCTCCTCCTCCTCCTCCTCCTCCTCCTCCTCCTCCTCCTCATCCTCCTCATCATCCTCCTGCTCGCAGGGCCCGCTCCGTTGTGTCACACATCACCTTCTGCTCGTGCACGGCTGGAGCAGAGGTCAGCATCTGGCTGCGTCGCTCACTTGCGTGAATGCCGATCTCTGGTTCAGGATAGCAAGAGCCTCCAGAGCTCGCGGGCCCCACCCTGTCATTCTAGAATGGACTCCCTCCCGTCGGCAGGCCGAGGACATCCGCACACATCAGGACCTTTGGTGTGCGGTGGGCAATGAGTGTGCTGACGAGCTTCCATCCAGAGGCGCGTCCATAGGCTGGTCGGAATTCGTCCAGAGGGCCCCTACCACAGACGTGGCGGAGACTTGTTAGATCCGAAAGCGTGCGAGGAGGGCTCTGGCGGAGTCCATTCGGGCGGACCCGTGGACCGAAACCCAGCCCCCGGCCCCCCGCCCCATTCGGATCCCGAAGACCGAGCAGGCCAAGGGAGCCTTCCAGCACGAATGGCGTAGGCTAGGCACGAAGTTCTACTGCAGAAAATCCAACGTGTTCGTGAACCGTTCCAGTTTTTTAGATGAGGCCCCCACAGAGTGTGCCCATGTTGCCCCTCCACCAAGAATCGCGCCCTTGAACGGCCGATCCCAGGCACATCTGCAAGCCTTGCGTGGCACCAACCCCCAAGGGGAAGCAGAATCTGGCGCGGATTGCTCGGGGCCTCCACCCATGTGTGAAGGGCCCACCCAAGATTGTTATAGAAGCCAATCTCGAGGAGCTGCGCCAGTACTGTTCGCCGTTTTACCGCGCGTTGCCGGATTTAGCCCGACAGTGGGGGTCTGGCGCCCAAGCGGGGCTTGATTTAAGCCCTGACCCCCCCCCCTCTGGGGCTGAATCGGCCCCGGCACAGGTCACTGCAATGCCCACATTCCACAGTCTCGACGTTTGTTGTTGCATGCCTTCTACTCCTATAGTCCTCCTCCTCCTCCTCCGCCTCCTCCTCCTGTGTCCCGCGCTTGGGGAGGACATCGAGCGCGACGCTGCGAAGGCCGCCGCTGCTGAGGAGAAGGCCAGCAAGGCCGCCGCCGCCATGCTGGACACTCTCACGGACGGCCCATCTATGCGGGGATGGAAGGGGGGAGGCCGAGCCAAGGGACGACTATCCCACAGGGACCTTGGGACCCCCCCCCTATCCCGCTCTTCTTCGGAGTTTCCCGATAGTTTGCACCCATGATGATTTGCGATTCTCGATCCCCCCTTGTCTATCCGTAGCGAACCCCGAGCGATATCGTTAGCACCACTACGAACTAGTACATTAAATAACTCAGCGGGGGGCCGTGGGAATGAGATGAGCAAGACATCCCACGAGAAGCCTCAAGACTATCGCCAGCACTCCCAGTCCTTGAGATAACCCTGAGACAATCTAACAATACTAAAGCACGCCACACAACAGGGTATCCCTCACAGAGGGGTCGGGATCGCGCGTCGTTCCGCCACGCTTCGGCGCGACACGTGATGCAACTCAGACTCCCCAGGGCCCAGCGCCCCGATCGTTCCCAGCCTCGCGCCCCGCGGAGCGCAGCGACGCCCCATTCGCTTGCGGGGCCCCGCCCTCTGCCGCCAGCCCCCCTGAGGGTGCTTGCGTGGACACGCTTGGCTGGTAGGTTTGTGGAGGACGATCCATGGAGAGGAAGCATGCCGCCAAATAATTTCCAGATGTCTAAAACATGTGTTACACATGTTTAAAACATGTTCAAAAACATGTTCAGAACATTTTCCAGACCTTCTAAACACATTTTTAAATTCAATGATAGGACTGTTAGGGTGTCCATTTTTGTGGCATCCATAATGGTAGGTTGACTGTTGTTTGTTGGCTGGCTGGCTGGCAGCTCGGCTGACTGTCTTGTTGTCGAAATCGGGAGTTCGGCAACCGACTTGGGCTGTTTGCCGGCCGGCTGGTTGCCGTTGCGCGGGTCTGCAGCATTTGATGTTGGAGGGCGGCCTCGGGAGCACTTTCCCGTTGTAATTTAGGAGGGGATGGGGCTTCGGGAACGCACGCCCTGAGCTATCTACGATCATGCGTGGTCTCGAGCGAGCCCCGAGCCGAATTCTCGAGAAAAAGCGGGACGCCGAAAAGACCCCCCCCCCCCGAACACATCCCGACACAGAGAACAAGAGTTTTTCTGCCCTGCAGAGGGGATGGCGTTTTCGGGCAGCCTCCATGGGATGGTTCGTGGCTTCGGGGGTGCGAAGTTGCAATCGTTTGCAAGGGAGTGTGGTTTCGGGGACTCAAGCTGTACGCACGTTACAAAAGAATTGTGGCCACAGAAGCGCGACATTGGCGTCATGTAAAATATGAAGTCTGGTTTGGGGTGCGCGAAGCTGGTGTACATTACAAGACGACGTGTGGCGTCGGGAGCGCCAGCGCGTCGTAATGTACGAGGGATTGTGGTTTCGGGGGCGCAAGCGGGATGTAATTCGCAAAAGAGTGTGGCCTCGGGAGCGCGAACCTGTGGTAAGTTAGTGCGTGGTTGTCTCGGGAGCGCCAGCGCGTAGCAATCTGCAGGAGATGGTGGCTGCGTGGGCGCAAGCCCGTTGCAATTCACGATAGATTGTGGCCTCGGGAGCACGGACCTGTGCGACTTGCAAGGCCTTGTGGCTTGGGGAGGGCGAGCCTGGTGTAATTCATCAGGGGAATGTGGCCTCGGGAGAACGAATCTGTCGTAACTAATGGATTACGGGTTGTGGACCTGGGGGCGCGAATCTGTTGTATTATCCGTGCCCCAAGGCAACACGAGAAGTTCTGGGATGGAGCTGGGCGGTTTCCCGGTTCCCCCCTTCGCACGGGCATCCACCTCTGCAGCATTGGAACGAGACAAGATGGATGATACATTTGCAGCATTAAGAATCGGAGCTATAGCAGGGGATAGGGGCACCTCCGCCTCGCAGCCTCCGGCGGGTACGCGGGGATACCCATGTGTACATGTCATGTTCTAACATTATTATGCTTGTGATTACTTGAGCGTGAACGAACCTAACCGCGAGTAACATTGAGTACGTGCAAGACCGAGTGTGACGTTCCTCTCTGCCTCTCTCGGCCGCCGTGTGCTGCCTTCCCTCTGCCGCCGCATGTTACCCCCTGCGGCTCCCCCTTTGGGGTGCCCAGATACGACGCCTGCTACATCGCGGTGGTCATGGGTCATGGGGCTCTGAAAGGGAGGTGTCGGAGGTGCCGAACAAACGCTTCGCTCGAGGCGTGCCCACACTCTGGGCGCGAACGGGCAGGTGTCCTACACCTTGGTGGCTCACCCTTTGGGTACCCACGTGGTATGCTTGCAACGTGGCGGTGGTCGTGGGGCTCTGCAAGGAGAGGAGCTGGAGGTGCAACTCGAGCGCCCAGCTCTTGGCATCCTTGCGGTTTAGGGGCGCGAGCGGGAAGTGCCCCGCTGCCTCGGCGGCTCCCTCTTGGGGCGCCCAAGTGTCATGCCTGCTGCACTGCGATGTGATGGGGGCTCTGAAAGGAAGGGAATCTGAGGTGCAAAGCGTTCGCCTGCCCTCATCCGAGGCGGGAGTTTATCCGTATCCACCGCCTGGAGGGTTAGTTTTCGGAGCCTCGGCAGGCGGTGGATATGGACATATTTGGGCCCCTGGGGGCCGAAATATATGCATATCCACCGCCCTCTGGGGCACCAGGACGTCAGTTCCCAGGCGGTGGATATGCATAAATCCCCGCCTCGCACCTTAGACACCCCGCACACTGGGCGCGAACGGGCAGGTGTCACGGTGTCCTACCCCCACGTCGTCTCTCCCCCCTTTGGGTGCCCGAGTAACATGCCTGCCACATCGCGGTGATCACGGACTCCTGAGGGGAGAGGAGCTGGAGATGCAAAACAAACGCCTCGCTCAAGACATCTCTACAATCTGTGCGCGAAGGGGCACGTGTCCTACCCATACGGCGGCTCCCCGTTCGGGTGCCCCAGCAACATGCCTGCAACATCTCGGTGCTCACGGGGCTCTGAAGAGAGGAGGGTCGGGGTGCCAAAACCAGCGTTCCGCTTGTCCCGTCAGTCTGGGCGCAGACGGGCAGGTCTGCTACCCCCTGGCGGCTCCCAGTCCCCCCCCCGAATTGCGGCGTCGAAGCGCGGGCCTCGGCTGCAAAACCATCCAGCAGCGCCGCCGGGCCGCCGGGCCGCCGGGCCCAGCCCACCAGAGGGGGGGCCGCCTGCGAGGAGCAGAAGACGGACCTCAACCAGGAGACCCTGCAGCTGACCCAGGCGCAGGGCCGGAAAACGGACCCGTCGGGGCGGCAACCCGATCTTTCGTCTCCGCTCTCGTCCCAGCCGCCGCCGCTGGTTTTGTCCAGTTCCTTCTCCTCCTCATTCTCCTGCTCATCCTGCTCCTCCTCCTCCTCCTCCTCCTCCTCCTCCTCCTCCTAGTCGCTGTTTGAGGTGCCCAAGAGTTGACCGACCGCACCTCACGTACAATCGTACACCAGCGATTCTGCGCCCACACCCGCAGGCCTCGGGGGCAGGGGGGACTGGGGGGCCCGCATGGCGAGTCCGTGCGCCTAGGCATGAGAATCTGCTACTACAACCCCCAGGAGGCAGCGAGCATCGAACGACTAGAGGACATCAGTGCCGAACTACACAGTTGGGACGTTATTCTCCTCAGTGGCACATGTAGATGGGCGGGAGCAGAAGCAGTGCAGCGACACTATCTCCCTAACCACTACGTGTTACAATTCGGTGCCCGCAAAGGGAAGTGGATCAACAAAAGCTGTGGCTTAACGATCCTCATCAGCCAGAGAATCGACGAGCGCAGCCTACGAGAGATCTACATCCCACCAACCAGCCTCCAGGGACGGGTTGCAGGAATTCGCCTCTCTACTAGCCAATACGACTACGTACTCTTTGTCTACTACTACGCCCCCACCCATCTCTCGTACTACGTGCCACTAGCAGACGCTATAACTAAATGGTTGGAGCAGTGTGTCGACCGAGTAGGCAGCCGTACGACGATCGTGATGGGCGGGGATGTGAACAGCGACTTTGGTTGCCAACGAGATACCGACGGGACCATCGTGCGAAGTAGAGGACCGACGGTAGGAGGCAGGGAACCCAGAATTGAGAACTCCAACGGCACGAGCCTCAGGACCCTGTGTCAGACCAGCGACCTCAGTATTGCCACCACTTACCACATCGCGGAACCCACATTCTACGGGCATTCGGGTTACAACAGCCGTATCGACCACATCGTAGTACCCACAGGGGCCCTGGGACTCATAAAAAGGTGTGAGGTCCTCCATCGGTCAGGCAAAAGGCTCCAAAAGGTAAAAGTACGAGGACACAGGGACCACCTCCCCATCGGCCTCACCCTCCTCGCCTCTACTACCACCACCTCCTTCCCCACGCGCGCCCGCCTACAACAGGGGCTGTGCAGGGACGGCCTCATGGAATGTCTACGCAGCGGCCACAAGAGGGAGATGCTGCTCACCGAACTCGACAAGGAGGTGGAGGAGGTGGGTGGGGAGCAGTGGGAGAGAGCACTGGGAGCGGCGACGCCAGACGAGACCTGGGACCTTTTGGGAGGAGCGGCACGATCGGCCATGCTCAGGACCTTCGGAAAAAAACGGCTCACCCGACGAGACCGACCAGCTTACGAAGCGAGCCAAGCAATACCGACTCGGACTCCTTAGGCAGCGAAGAGCACTGCGACAGAGCCTCACTCCAGAACAGTGTGCCGACGACTACGACAGGGTACAAAACGAGCTGTAAGAGGTCACAGCGGCGCTGAAGCAGGCTCGAGAAGGTGTAGAGAAACAAAGAAGGGCGCTCCTGGTCGAACGCATATGGGAGGCCTACGAAAAACGGAACCTCGCCGAGATGCACCGACTACGTATACAGTACCAGAGGAACGGACGCGGGCCAAAGAAAAGGTACTACCGATCAGCCCGAACCCACTGGCCACGCGACTACTGGTATCAGGAGCTGGCCCACCCAGCCTTGGAAGGGGGACTAGGAGCACGGCCCATCGATAGAAACGTAGAGAGAGCAGAACACGAGGCTTTCGTCCAGGAACACATCGACCGACTGCCGATCGACCACGATTTACTTTTTCAGGTCGAGGCCGACAAGCGAGCGATGCGCAGGTACTGCCAGAGAGCCAGCAAACGACGGGCCTGGCCGCCTTGGGGCATCCCGATCGAAATGACATGGCTGATGATCGATCCCACCCTCCATCTTCAGGACCCAGCAGAGCTCAGCAGGCGCCTAGAAGAAAAACGAGTTGCAGCTGCAGAGAAGAGGGGGGGCGAAGACGAGCTTGCACACTACACGACATTGGGGCGATGCAAGAAGGGGAGGGAACTGCTCCGACGGATGGGGTGGACTGACGGTACTAGGCTGGGTCGCGTGCCGACGGCGACGGATGGGACAGAAGGAGCCGCCTGGGAGCAGCAATCCTATGCAGTGGGGAGGGGCAGGTTTGCAGGGGTAGGTGCTGGCAAGATTGCAGATCACAGTAAAGGATACATGAAGTACCTTGACCAATTTCTTGCACAATGCCGAAGCTGCCAGGTCACCCCCTTGGACTGGCACCGATCACAAGCATTCCCAGCAGAAAAAACACAACAACCAAGAGGGGATACTAGGGAAGCGTATATTACACGTCTACGATTCTTTCGGAATGGCATGGCACTCAGGCATCCACCTACGTGGCTCACCCCCATCACAGGCACCCTGGGCCCAAGGAGGCCTCCCACACCGCTGTCGTGAAAACGCCATCCTCTGCGTACAAGCGGCCCAATGGAGAGCTGCCCAAGGGGGGGTGAGCACAATCACAACCAACTACGACGGCACCAACGCGTTCGCAGCCACCAACCGAGCCCTACTCAGAGCGGTTGCCTTCAGGCAAGCCCACGAGCACGATCAGCGCTTCGCCATGGCAGCAATTGGCCACTCCACCCTGACGCTCGAAGCTGCCGACGGCACCGTCGAAGCTGGGAGCACCACAGGCGCTCAAATGGGCTTCACCCTCTGCCCGAGGCAATCCAACGATGCATACAACCTGTACGTCACAAAATGGTGGGAACAAGGCCGCACTGACCCAGACCAAATCATCCACGACACGGCCAACCCAGTCGCAGGCAACACTCACGACTTATCCCTCAACACGTTCATGGACGACATCACTTACGTGCAGACGATCCTACCCGCATCGACGGCTGGCGATATTGAACAACAGCTCAACAACAACACCGAACGCCTTTCCCAAACAATTGCAGCAGGAGGATGGGGACTCAACAACGCCAAGACCAACCACCTACTATACCTAGTAGGGCAAGGCTGCTACGGGAAAACCAGACAACTCAGACGCAGCAAAACATTGCAGGGTCAGGCGCTGAGGGAGATGCGTGTACTTGGCCCTTACCTACCAGCTGGTCAGGGCATCACAGGCGAGGTGATGCGGCGTATCGCAGCCATCCGCGTCGCATGGCGACAATGCGGGATCTTCTGGACCTCTAAGGTACCCCGACAGATAAAACGCATGATGTTCATGGCTTTCGTCGTAGGTCGGCCCTCAGCGGATTGCCAGCGCTAGTTCTGACAGATACCCACACAACAGCAATCGACAGTGTACTAGGCAAGTACCTACGGACGCTAGCGGGAGGAGCCATGTCGTTGACCAGAGCGGATGGTACAGTGAGGTGCAACAACTTGCGACAGGTATTTAGATACTGGAGACTCGAGCGCACATCCGTATCCTTACTTGTGCGACGCTTACGATGGTACCAGAACTGGTCAAGGCACCCTTGGGAGCACGGAGCAGTCATCGCAGCGGTTTTTGGGACATCCAGACTAGATGCGGCTCAGGGTATCCAGCGACTCGAAGGGCAGGGATTTGTGGGGCCCTCCTCCACCCCGTGGGCACAGCAGTTTGCAGCCGACATGCAGGTGATAGCAAAGGTTGACGAGAGCATGGGATGGTATGCAGACAGGGAATCTGACCATGCCATATTCGAACAGGGGAGTGCGGAACAAAAAAAAACTGGTTGCAAACCGACCCATCAATATTGTACAGTTACGAGCGAAACTGGGACGTGCTTACGACACGTGATACGACGCTACAGGAGGAGGAGGGCAGGGAGGAGGAGGCATTAAAACCCTACTGGTGCGATCATACGACGACGGGCGAACACGGCACGGAACAGAGGTGTGGCATGCGCTTTGCGACATGCGCAGCACTAGCTGGGCATCGCCGAGAGTCTCACAACATCCGACCAGTGGTGGCGTCCGTAATCGTCAACAACCAGTGCCCCTGGTGCAAGAGCACATTTATTAATCGTAAGGTATGTGTCGACCATGCGACCAGGGCTGTACACGGCCACGGTATTTGCCACCAAGACAGGTCGATGTGGTCCCACCCCATCTCCGACCCCAGCTCCCTCACCTGCCAGATCTGTAACCACGAGGCTCAAACTCTCGAGGAGTATCACGCACACATCCGAGAGCACATAGCAGGGCCAGAGTCGATCAGAGCGGCACGGGGAGAGGGAGCACATGTCGCACGGGGGCCACGGCGACTGGCGCATCAGGGCCAGCACGAAGAGAGGAGGGGGCGCAGCAGAAGGGCAGCGGCCCTCACAGCGCCCACACCTCGGCGGCGGCGGAGTCGGCTCGTCAGACACGCAGCAGTCGCAGCAGACGCCCCAGCAGCCGCCCCCCACACAGCGCCGAGGAGGAGGCGGTCGAGGACCCCCAGGAGGAGGCCGTGGTGGTGGAGGCGGCGGCCAGGTGGAGCTGCGGGACCAGCTGAGATCGCTCCAGAGGCTCACCCTCCAGAACTCGAACGAGATCCGCAATTTTTTGCATCTCACGGGAGAGTTCTGGCTGACGCCGCTCGAGCCAGACTGGGTGCAGGCGCCGATGGAGACAGGCAAAGAGTACGGACGGAAGGTGAAGCAGTTGGGCAAGGGGCACGGCCTCGGCCCACCGCATGGCCAGGTAGCGGCGAGCCTGGTCGAGGAGATCGTGGCGGTGCTCGACTCAGAGGAGCAGAAGCTCGACGCGTCCCTCCTCCACGTGAGGCAGCTCCTGAAAGAGTTCATGAGCCAGCTCGACGAACCCTGGGGACCAATCTTCATCACGGAGGTCTTCTTGCAGTGCAAGATCCAGGAGGCGCACAACAAGACGGGCGAAGACGTGGAGATGGACATCAAGCAGTGCAAGGCCAAGCTCATCTACACGATCAACACGGCGCCGAGCTTCAGGGCGGTGCTTTACGACCAGAAGCTCGAGCAGGAGCAGTACGACAAGATCTCGGGCTTCAAGGGGGACATGTTCAAGCAGGCACTGGGCCACGCGCTGGCGCACCTCGGGGCCACAAAGAGCCGCTCAGGGGGCCCGAAGACGGGCCTGGAGAGGGCCGTGGAGGCGCAGCTCAACAGGAGGTGAGCCAAGGCACGCCTCAGCCCAAGCCCAGCAGCTCGCCCCGCCGCGAGCGAGAGAGCCCCGCGGGCCAGTCCCCACCAGGCCCGCAGCCCAGCGGCGCCTCCAGCTCGTTGTCGAGCAGCGCTCCCGAGTCACGCCTCAACTCCACGGGGCGCCCTCGTGCCTGGCCACCATCATCACCGCCAGTCACTCGAGAGGAAAAATCGCACAGCAGATCAGTACAGACCTTGTTCGTATGACGAGTCTCAGGAGCCAGGCCGAACAACACGGAGGCCAGATGGCCTACCTGTATCGGATGGCTACATACTATCGGGACCTACGGCCAAGGGACTACTACCAACCTATGGCGAAAAAATGAGGGTGACGGCGGACCTTCTACTTATCCAGCCGTCACCCTTCTATTACACGGGCTCCCACCACCTACGCCCCCCCCCTCCCACCAACTCCTACCTCCAATTTACTATTCCTCAGGCTATCAGCTCTCGACTAGTTCCATTCGCAGTCGAATTCTTTTCCGCGCGAGGCTCGTCTGCCAGATAGTATTGCGGATGCCCGCTCGGAGCCGACGTATTCGCGACTTCGTACCGGACCTCGTACAACAGAACGACAGTACATGCTACAGAGTACACACTGCGCATTACAAAGGGAACATCATACACAGGGAACTATCACATCACACCACAACATTCAGCACAGCCATGCGATTGTGATCCGACCACGGTTCGACCTCCCTTTCTCCGCTCAGCCACATCCAGCCTTAGTCCGCTTTAGTCATCATAGCTGCTACCTCCCTCGACCCTCTGCGGATAGAGTGAGTGAGGAAGAATTGCGCACTAAGGACAGGCCTAGGATTCCGACTCCAGCGAACGACCGAGCCTACGCCTACTACTACACCAAGGCCCCCACTACGGCCCCTTACTGCCCCAACTCCTGGGAACTAAGGAAACTACTACATTACCTAAGGTGAACAACAGTAGGCGGGGTCAACTAAGGTAAGGCGAGGCCCAGTACACAGTCCGACATACCACCAGCGGACATTTACGACTCGAGCATTCTCGCGACATCCAGGGCTTGCTTTTCCCGCGGACGCACGACCAGGGCAGCGATGGCGGCGCAGGCGAACATGGCGGAGCAGAAGGGGGCGCAGCAGCCAGCTGCAGCTGAGGCCGAGCTCAACCCACAGCCCACGATCGTACAGAAGCCGCACGACAGGGGGGGCTTGGGAGTGGCTGACCAGGTCTCGGGCACGGCGGCGTACAGGTTGGAGATCGCGCACAACACACTCCAGAGCACGCCCGACGCGTTCAAGGAGGCGACCAAGCACAGCGAGATGGCACTCCACATCCTTCACAAGCAGAGGGAGAAGGTGGTGACCACGCTGGGGCGCATGAACGGCAGGAGCCTCGACCCACACGAAGAGGCAGAACGCAGCCAAGCAAAGCACTACCTTAAGGAGCAGCTGCGCGACATCCACAACGCCATCAGCGCGGTGAGGAGCGCAATCGGCATCACGGACGACAAGCTTGGCAAGATGGTGCACGGGCCGATGCCGTGGGAGCTCGACTACACGAGGCGCCAGGTCGACGAGATCGACCACATCTACACCCGCTGGACCAAAGGCCCGCATGGCTACGCCTACGATGAGGCCTCCTTCGACACCCAGAGTGCGACGGCAGCGGAGGCGGAGACGGAGAAGCAGGATCTCCTCCAGCCAGCGCGCAGGCCGCCATGCCCAAGTCCGAGCAAGAGCGTGCAGGGCTGGGAGAACCGCGGTGTGGTGTTGTGCGGTGAGGCCAGCGCCCCAGCCGCCGCTACTAAGGCCGACACTGGCGCTGCGCAGAGCAGGGATGTGAGGCTCTCGTCGCCAAGGGCAGCAGCAGCGGCAGGCTGGGGCATCGGGCAGTAGAGAGCTGAGAGCTTTCCCACGCATCAGGCCTTGTTCTCCCCTTTTTTTTCTTTCTCTCACTCCCTCAGCGGGAGCATCATAGGATCGGCAGCACAGCACTCAGCGTGTGGGCCAATGCGGCCATGCAAATCCATATCAGCCGAGACAGGTGCAGGGTAGGGGGATGCACAAGGCCGCCCTTTCTTTTTTGCCTCTCTTTCTTGCCGCCTGGAGGGAGTGGTGAGGGGAGGTGGGGGAGCGAGGGTGCGAGGGTGGGTGGGCTCTCAGCGGCGGGGGGTGCGCCCAAAGAGAGGCAGCTCCCCTCCGCCTGCAGCAGTACAAAAGCCTAGCCGAGGCAGGGTCCCCCTGCTAGCGAGGCTCGGGGACCACGCCTCAAGAGAGGCGGGCCCCGTCGCCTCAGGCGGCCCCCCCAAAGCAAACGGGTGGGCTCGCATCCATTTTTTTCCCAGGGGTCGGCATGCCTGTCGGTAGGCGAAGTTGACAGACCCCCAAGGGCCTTATCCTTATCCTTATCCTCCTCCTCCTCCTCCTCCTCCTCCTCCTCCTCCTCCTCCTCCTCCTCCTCCTCCTCCTCCTCCCCCTCCCCCTCCCCCCCCCCCCTCCCCCTCCCCCTCCTCCCCCAGGGGCCGGGGAGAAATGCGCGTCCAGCTCCAGGCCCCCCCCCGCCAGCTGTCGGGAGTTTGATCACCCCCACCGGCCAGAGATCGTTCCAGAGCCGACCGTTCAGGAACGCTCTCAGAGCTCTCTGGAGCGCTCTAGAACTGCCTCGGCGCCCGATAGCTCTTCCGGAGCCGCTGACTCACAGAGGCTCCGAGCTATATGCGCCCGGTGTTATCCTTACTCTGCCGTCGTCTCCGCGCGGCAGCCGCAGCAGCCAGGACGACATCCAGACCAACACGGAGTCGCGTAGACTGAAGAAGCAGGACCGCGCCACCTCGAGGGTCGCCGGCCGCTGTCGCAGCGACACCCGATCGTCGAGTTGCGATTGACTGGCCAAGTGGCCTGGGAGGTCCAGCACCTGCGGCCTCACCCTCCCGACTGCCGAAACCGCTGACGCTTCGCAAATCCCCACCAGCCCGTCCAGAAACGGTTCCCAGGCGAGCTGTCGGGAGAAGGAGCGTGGACGAGCAGATGGTGGAGCAGAGGGGCCGACGTCGGTGAACTTAGAGAATCCTCTTGGAGTCCTCTTGGAACCACCACTGTGCCCTCTTGGGGCCATTTCGGAGCCTTTGAGGTGGGAGCTCTCTTGGAGCCCTTCTCCGGGCCTGGCGGAGGCCCTGCATACGAAAAAGAGGGTTGGTGAATTGGCCTCCTCCCGTCGGAGACCGTAATGTCGCATCTTGGAGCTCTCTTGGGGGCGACCTTGGGGCCGTCTTGGAGCTCCTCTTGCAGCTCTCTTGGGCGATATTGGAGTCATGTGGCCGCGGAAGCCCATCGGAGGCGACAAGGCAAGAAGGCAAGCGTCTTTGAAAAACCGAGTGCTTGTCAATACATGTGGCCTCTCGGGGATATCTTGGGCCGTCTTGGGCGGTGTCAGAGCATCTTGGAGGCATGCCGGAGGATTTCGTAAGCCAGGTTGGGTCATCTTGAGCCAGCTTGAAGGCCATCTCGGACTGTCCGAGGCCATCTTGGACGCGGTGACGTGTCGGGCCATCTTGGACCACCGGATGGACAGCCATCGCGAACCGGCACAGACAGCCATCGCGAGGTGCGCCGCGCGTGCCAGGCGCGCCGCGCGCGCCAGGTGCGCCAGGCGGCTCCAGAAGCTCAAGAGCGTGCCAGGCGCGCCTGGTGCGCCAGAGGGGCCACGTGCGCAGCCAGCACCGCGCGCACCGGCCGCGCCACGTCTGCGCGCGGCGCGCGCGCGGCGTGCGGCGGGGCGGCGGCAGGGTGTGCGGTGCGCGCGCGGCAGCACGGGTCGGCAGCGTGCCGACCCCCCGGGCACCGCCCCTGCGGCAGACCAGCGCAAAGTGGCGACGGGCTGGCCAGGACAGTGCCGTTTGTAAGACATGCTCCGCGTGCGGATCATGTATTGAAAATGCAGGGACTTTGTACTAAAAACAACGACGAACTCATGCATGCATTTATTCATATATGAATCCTGTATTAAAAATCCGATCTACAAAAAAAATCCGATGTATTAAAAACTGCCCGCATGGTGGTGCACCGTCAAGGGCGGAAGAAATCACCTGGGCCCGGCAAGTGGCGTCACCTCAACGGCCCCGGGCGTTTACTAAACAGCCCTGCCCTGTTCGATTCCTGCTCTGGGTGCGTTTGCGAAACGGCCCTTGGCGTCAACTAAACGGCTTCTCGTGTCGGGGTGGTGATGATGAGGGTGGATGTTCTGCTCTCTATACGGTGCCTGCGCCCACGATGTGAGTGCGGATTGGCTTCTGACGGGTACGAGCGAACGAACGCACGAACGAAGGACCACCGCTGCGGACCAGCGTCCAGGCTTGGCTCAGGCCAGGTAGTTGCGGCCGTGGCCTCTTGCTTCTGGCGTGCCTGGACAAATATGGTGCGAGACACATCAAAAATTGAGTCGGGGGGAAATCGAGGAGGAGGAAATCGAAGAGGAACTCGAGGAGTAAATCTAAATGGGGAGGAGGAAATCCAGGAGGGAGTCCTCGGTGCTGGTGTAGGCGCGTGTGTCGTCTCGCCTTCTCGCTGTTGGTCTTGGATGTTTGCTCGCGTGGAGTCGGTGCACTGATGCTCGAGCGCCGAGCGGGGTGGTGGACCAGCGCACAGCAGGCAAGTACGTGTGCTCACACACCCGCCATCCCCTTCAACCACCAATGCACAGCGATCTCGCGGAGCGCCCGCTCGTGATCCAGATTTGGCCGCCACGTGCCCTGCGAGTTGTTATTCTACGTGGATGGCGGGGGGGGCGCTCGTGTTTCCTGGTTGGCGGCCGGTCGAGCGGAGGAGGGGGAGGTAACACAGCACCCCGCACTTGCGGATAAGAATGAGGGGGCGGCGGGGTCGTCGGCAGTCTGCGATGCTCTGAAGAAGCCCGCCGCAAGCGCCTCTTTGTTCTCCACACATTACACAACGAGCCCGCCGCAGGCGCCGATTCTTTCGTCAAAGCAACGTGGGTGGGTCGCGGGTGGGTCGCGGGTGGGTCGCATGGTGGGTCGCGGGGTGGGTCGCCCGGTGGTCGCGGAGGGTCGCGGGTGGGTCACGGGTGGGTCGCGGACGAAAACGACGACAAGAATGCAACAACGCAACGCAACAACGCAATGCAACAACGCAACGCAACAACACAACAATAATCCGCACCGCGGAGCCTCACTTCAGCCACGCACCCAGGGACAGGGACAGTGAATGACCGTTCGGCCCCCTCACTCTGATCAACAAGGAGCAGCGGTAAGCCCCTCCCCGAAGGGGTCAAGGGGCGCTGAGGAGAAATCGATCTAAGCCGCCTGTGCCCAGTGGGATGCCAGGCATGCACGGCATAAGGGCATCTTAGCGTAAGGTCACCTCCAGTGATATCCAGAGCCGGCATAACAGTCCAGGCTGCCAAGGTCATCTGGAGGAGTATAAGAACGAGCGAACTAGTCGTGGGCACACGGTTTTCACCAAGACGGTAAGGGAACTTGCAGCGCAAACATGGGAGGCGCATGCTCACTTGCAAGCTCTTGTTGGCCACCTGTTTTAAACAAGGCGACGTCATGTTCGATACCATGCCGTCGGGACCACAGCGGGAAACGTGTTTGCAAGGGGCCATGGGGTATTGTACGGGCGCTCGCACTCATCCCTTTATGATCCGTTTCCTCTGCCAGAGTGCAAGTACACGACTCAACCAGTCTTACCCCGTCGTTAGTGTATTCCCCCGATGTTGTTTTAGATTGTTGTTCCTGCTGCTGGCGCTCCTCCTACTGCCTTCCCGTATTGACCCCTTCCTCTTCCTCATCCTCCTCATCCCTGCCCTACTCTATCGCCAGGTGGCGAGCAGCCGCCGCAATCCCGCGCGGAACCCTAAAACAGCAAGCTTACGGCTCGCAGCCCAGATGCGCTCGCAAGCTCCAGGCGGGGCAGGTGGCGTGTCACCTCTCTGCACGAGAGCGCCACCGAGGATGGAACCCGTGGGGACAAGCTCCAGCCACGCCCGGCGGCAGCGTGCATGCCCGTGGCGCAAGAGAGAACTCCCCCGCTTACCCCGTGACCACCAGCGAGCCTCCTCCCTGCCTGCACCCTCGGGACTGTACGCCGCCAGAGCGCGGGCTCCTCTCGGCCGACTGCGCCCTTCACACGGGGACGGCGGCTCCCCTGGCCACGTCCGGGTGCAGGCAACGAGGCAGCTCACATCCATCCACGGCGGTGCTCCTGGTGCCATGGCGCCGCTGCCACCCGCACGGCGTAGATGGCTCCCGCATCGCCCCTGCAGCGCCGGAGCCTGCAGTCCCTGGGCCTGCGGCGCCTGCGCCTGCAGCGGTGGCCGGCGGAGAGACCGCCTGCGGGTGCGGTGGAGCACCTGACGAGCCTGATGAGGCTCCAGATGACTCAAGTTTATCGTGGTCTCGAGAGGGGCGTGCTCATGGTTCGCATCCGCGGGGTCGTCGCACGTCGCTCGGGGCCGAGAGCGCGCCGCGAGCTCCGCCGTTGCCCCGCCGCACGTCCGCAGTCGAGGCTGATCCGCAGGGCGGCCCTGCGAAGGCAAGAGTACCCTCGTGTTCTCTGCTTCGCGACCCGTGCCTTCCCACACTCCTGTGGCAACGTGGCCCTCTCCAGTCAACCCCGACTGTGCGTGGAAGCGTGCTCGGAGGATCTTTCCGATCGTTTGTTTGCCCTGTCGATCGTCGACTTCGACGCCGCCTGGTTCCGAGGCTTTGCCTCCTCCCTGCCTCGTTCTGAGGCTGCGCCCCCCTTCTCCTTCCCGGAGCTCTGCGCGGCCCGCTTAGCTTCGACCGGAAGAGGTGCGCTCTCGACTCGCGCATCAAAAAAAGTTTGCCCTGTCGAGGCTCACAGCGCGCCTCGCGGCGACGGCACGGGGCCTGGGCACAGCTGCCGCGCTGCCCGAGGAGCGAGCACGGCCGGGCTCGGCACGCCTGCTCCCGCCCGCCGTGCTGGCGCGGTCCTCTGCGCGCGACCAGTGGTGGAGCGAAATGGCGCAGCACGACATCGGGGCACGAGTCGACTGCCTGAGCGTGTTCTCACCTTGCGCCGCGTGTCTTGGCATCGCTCGGACGTGTGCATGTTTCCCCCTCGGCGAGGACCATCGAGGAGCACCCTTGCTCATTTGGCGAAGCAACCACGCACGAAACCGAAAAAACACATGGAATGGACGTCCGAGCGATGGCCAGGTGTGGGCTCGGCCACTGGGCTAGAAGCCGCGGATAACTGGCGCCAGTATAGCTGGAATCAGTGGTTCTGGTGCCTGATGCCGTTTGGCAGCGATTTCATGGGCCTGCGTTTCGCAGGGTACTCCTAGGGCTCCGATCCAAAGCCTCTCGATACCCTTAGTGGCACGAGTGGGTGCATCTGGTCCTGGTAGGACGGGGCTTGGACGAGGATGAACCCGTTCCTGAGCATGTTGGAACGCTCTCAGAGCGTTCTGGAACGCTCTGAGAAGGCCGCGGCGCCCGATATGTTTTCCAGACCGCCAGATCTCAGAGATTATCGATCCATCCTCACCCGATGTTATCCTCGTCCTGGCTTCGTCTTATGCTGCTTCCAGGTTTCCTTCGATGAGGGCCCCTGCTCGGATGCGGATGCCTTTCCACTGTTTTGGACAAGCTCGAAGGAACTGAGCAGCACGGCGGCCATCTGCGATAGGAGCAACGATGTTGCACGATAGCCAGCGCGAGCCACGTCTTCTGCTCGCAGGGTTGGGCGATGCTTCAAGTTGGCGCTACAGTCGAGACACTGAAACAAGGATCCTTTTTCCGAGGAGGCGGCAGATCGGAGTTTCAAGTCCGCAGTT